CATTTGTAAATTGATAAATTGCATAATTTATAATGCCAGACCAAATTCGGTAAATGGCATGTACAAATACCATTTACCGAATTTGTAGTAGTCACCTTTATCCTTAATAATAAACTAAGAAAGGATATCTTAAGTACTTATGCAAAGTACATCCATAAAGCTAAACACAGATGTGATCTCTCATATCAGCGTGCGAACTTCTGCGTCCGCGCTGCTGGCAGCTGAGCCCGCATGCGCCCACCCAGGCTACACATTGCAATAGCCCACGCCTCTCATTCGCAATAAACGAGAAACATCGACGGTTATAACCCTCACGTGATTGATTTATTAATCTATCGGCAACATTAGGATGTGAAATCCGGGTTTCACAATTAACGCAGATGCGTACATTTGAGTCGGGCTTTTGTGAAACGAATACAAACTTATCTTTTATAGATAAGCTCTTTTGACTTTTGTTCGTTGGTTATCAACCTTGATAATAATAAAAAATGAGAATCCACCGAAAACTTATAAAGGAATTACTACAAATTTATATAAATTCAGTAGGAATTATATTTTTTTGCCGAATAATTCGGAGGAAAGGGCTGTCACCTCGTACAAAGTGAATGAATGTGAGCAGGCGATAAAGAAAGGACTCGCCTTTCTTTATTTGCAAACAACAGCAGGCACCTTGACACTAGAGGTTGTTAACCGATGCATTAGATGGGGCACAACACAATTGAGGCCAGTGTGTGAGCGAGTTCAAGAGCAATTTAGGTTCCCTAGGTCAGTTCGCCGAAGGTAACCTTGACATTGACCACAATAGATGAACCTGGTTCTTCCTTTTTATCAAAAAAAAATTAAAAAAATTGTTTTGTAAGTTTTCAAAGAGGTCTTAGGATCTAATTGAATATCGCCTCATGTGAGTGTCGTTATGGGCGTAATTACTTCAAATCATTCTTTAATTATGTATGTACCTCTGTGGCAGAGGAGATCGGGCACAATTAAATAAATAGATTTTTAGTTGTAGCTTGTTTATTATTTTATGCTTTAGTTATCAACGTAGGTATCATATAATACAAACCCGTCAATTTATTAATTGTACCTTAATAAATATACCTTATATTATAAGTACATTTTTTATCATATTAAAAATATCAAACAATGGTAAAGACTGTTAAGTGCATAAAATATTGCTTGCCTCATAGGCCAACAAAATGAAGCGTGAAGTCTAAATTACAATTGGTTAGTACCTATATTAGTAAATATGATCCAAGACTATTATGCTATCCCTGTGGTATGAATGCACTAGTTTATAAATTAAAACAACATCTTGAGTTGTAGTTTTTATAGTTTATGAGAAATTCCCTTGTCAATACTTACGTCTATTAATTATAACCCGGTCTCCTCTACCTACTCGTACCACCTTTCACATTCATTTGAAGAGTTAAGGTTCCCACTTTTTATCTTATAAGTATAATATTTGTATGTCTAATCACAATTCCAATAAAGAGACGTATATTTATGTGTCTAAGACAATAAATTTTATTTTAGTTCTGTATTTTAATTTGTATTGAAATTGAATAAGAAATGTGAATTCCATTTTCATAATTGTTATTCAATTTTCATATTGTTATTCTATTCATTTCTGACATAGCATCTGAACTGCAAAGCGTTTGTCTCAATATGTCGTTGTTCTCATATAGACGGATCTAAAGAGCTCAAACACGATACAGTTGCGTTATTTCATTGCTAAGTTCCTATGACCATCTTCCAGCTCCATCATCACTAGATATTGGTGTGGAAAGCATTCAGTACCAAAGTCCTCATAAAGACGGATCTAACGACACGATGCAATTGAGACATTTAGCACTAAGTTCCTATGACCACCTTCCGACTTCATCACCATATCAGCTTAACTGATACCATAATATTACATTGGCATCTGACTTACACATCTATACAAAATTTCAAATTTATCGGACGTTGGGAAGTGAGTCAAACTTGAGTTCCAAGATTTTTCGCTGATAGACAACATGGTATTGTCATCTATGTTATTTGGTAATATTTTATGAAAAGCATATTTTGTTTTATTATAAAAAGAAAACTACAGATTTGATTTCGATAAAATTTCTCGGGCTCATAAACTGTGTAATAAAAATGAATTTTAAAAATCGGTCAACAATTCGGTGTAAAATAGGTGAACATACCTACATCGCCTTCGCCTTCGACATATAACCTCCTTTTAGATTTTGAAGTCGGTTAAAAATTAAATCGGATTAGTGGTGTTATTTTTATATATCAAAACATTGTGTCACACCTATTATTAAATAAAATTGTATATTTTACTTTCATAAAAGCTTAAAAACTATTAGGTAAACGTGTCCGACGTTCAAAGTTTTTTGAATATACAAATCTCTTTTAAAATATAAGTTTGTTTTTATTTAGTATGTTCGCGAACGTCGATAAGTACATTGGGGAATGAGTTAAGGATAAAATACATCAGGATTACGCTTCAGTGTTTGAAAATAGAACACGTGTAAAGCATCGCGACAGATTTCCAGGAGATCGCGGAGACAAGCAAAAAACAAAAAAAAAATCTGGACCGGAGACGCGTTCGGTGCACTCCTCCTTGTAAGTATGCTGCTTTCGTTCGAGGTAGGGCTTGCGATATGATCAAAGTGACTATTAAATAAAATAATTTTATCATGTGACATTAATAATCTTGGTTAAACGATATCCAGAAATATTAAGTATATTAAAATAGTTTTTTTTTATTTTTAGAAAAAAAATATGACAACCTTTCACCTATAATCGTAATCATTTTAGTGAACCCTTTCTCTCGATAACTATAAATTATGAAAATACTATTATAATAGACAGAGTCCTCTATTTTTACACCTCCATTTCAGACCACCGTCTACTATATTGTATTTAAATAAGTGATTTTATTATTTTCGTATTCTCTCAGGTTACCCTTTCATTTGGATATTAAAAGTGCATACAAAAAATAAATAGATTGAGATCTTGGGCAGTCTACCATATTAGATTTAAAATTATGTAAGTAAACTAAATATGATTCATTCTTTTTTTTTTCAAAATTTTCAGCCTGATCGGTTGAGGTAAAAATTTCAAAAGCTCGAAATTTCAATTGCAACATTTGACGAATATGCTAAACTATAACCATAAACTACGTAGATTATTATCAGCCTTTTAACGTCCTGACTGCATGGGCTCAAGCCTTTCTTTTGGATGGTGAAGGAAAATGGACCATCACCCTTCACGCTGGCCTAATGCGGATTGGAGGATATTAACGTTTGCAAATGCAGCCGGGACCAATGATTTAACGTGCCTTCCGTAGCACGGAGTAGCTCAAGATAATAATTATTTGATCACCATCCTATGACCGAACCTTGCGAAAGTTACTTAGCAACAACGATGGCGGACTGCGGTGCATATACACTACTCCACCGAGCTACTCCATACATTGTAATTAAAGACAAATTATTATGGCCGCTTTTAAGATAGGATAATATAAGATTAATTAATATCAACGCATTATATGACAATTCATGAAAGATTTTACTCCTACTCGTTCATTGTAAGTTACATCCCTACGAAATCTTGACAAAGAAAAAGGATGTCATGATAATGCGTGGTTGTTGATTGCAATAAGCAGCTACTTTGCATCAATGCAGTGAGGACGTCGATTTCAATTTGACCACATCCTGCTTTCTCGAGATATAAGTATTGTCATGAGGGGCAGTTTTTTAAAGTAACCTTTTTATCGCAAAGGTTATTTTCATCTTTCATTTGATTAAGTACGAAGACATAAACAAGGCAAGTACTTACTTTAAACTAACGTTGAACAAATCAAAGAATGTTTGTTTGTAGCCTGAACTGGTGTTAATGCTCGATCTTTAACCTTGAAACAGTCTAGACTAAGTCTAGACTTGACTAGACTTCTAATAAATAGTCTCTACGTTTATTGATTGATCCAATAGTATCAATACTATTGATAGTGAAAAATAGTAGATTGGCTATTGATAAAATACAAGCAACAAGGTACTTACAAGCAGTAGCACGTCGATTTTGAATTCTACCTTAAACATGTAAATACATATTCAAGTCAAGTACGGAAATTTAACAGGTTTTTTGTTCACATTATACTAGTATCGACAGGGAAAACCATCGATAGTATACAATATTTATTTTATTTCTTAGCGCAGTTAATAGCAGAAAAGGAGTCAATCTCAGAATTACAGATATACGTAGTATCTTGTGTCTGCGTCGTAGTTCAAGGTAATATGTCAATGGGTTTTTCACGATTATTATATCCGGTTTCTATCGCTCCAGTGATAATTATCATGTAAAAAAGTGAATCAACCCTTAACTTTGAAATCTCCGTGAATAATCCGATAATGTGCTATTGCAGGTTTTACATGTCATGCGCTTTTTGACATACTTAAAAGTATAGATAACATTAATAGTTTTGACTTAGAATAGCACCGTCCGTGTGTGTCATACAAAAAGACTATGGGAACATAGCTATCTTAGCAGCAGCGTTCCTTCAATTTTCGGCCAACTGCGATCGCCCATCCGCTTCTCAACAGTGGTGATTACGGCAATTCAGTTACCTAATTGTTGTGGGTATATGGCCCACAAGGTTCTTGTTAATATGAAGTTACCATCGGAAGGGGTGACATACCTTGCGGTTGTCTGGAAGAAATTGCTCAATAGTGATAAGGCCGTCGTTCGTTCGACTAAACTGTATCAATTGTCATATTCTAAAATTATGGTGTATAATAAAGAATTTATCCATTCATTTTTACCTGTTTTGTGACCCACGGAAAATACGTTGCCGCCTGTTGGGACGGGACGAAGTGGTGTACTTTTCCCCGCTAATAGATCAAAGGGTGGGGCGGCCGGCATCAGCAGTTATAACCACGTTATAACGATAACTTACTAAAAATATCGATGTTAGATATATCGATTATTTTTGATCAACTGCTCTATATAAACTGTCAACGTCAATGTCAAACGTGATCCAGTCATTAGGTAGTAATATTTATTATCTGTGATTGTGATTATGAGTGGAGTGAAGGAAGGCTAAAAAATGTCTTTTTGTTGAATTAATAAAAGTTGCTCATAAAATTGTATAATTATCTGTATTATGTCTAACGACTTAATTATTTGTAAACATGCAATAAAGATGTTTTACATGTTGATGTGTTGGTAGTTTAATTATCGATTTGAAGGTTATATAATGGTAACTTTTTCCTTAAAATATTCAGTTAGCTGACAAATAACGAAATGTTTGCACCAAAAGAATCCATATCTCTCTTTGTAAAATGTTCGTGGAAAACATGTGGTGACTGCATAAAATTATTTTCATCTCAAGCAAAACGTCAGCCAATAGCAGTTGAAGGACCTTGGCAATTGTACTCTGATAAAGTTTCGACAGCCGTTTTGACCAAAGATCCTCATCAAGAAATAGTTGTACAACAGCTACAATATATTTATCAAGAGATTATCTCATACCAAAGACCTGTGCTTCAAAATCGGACAAGTAATTCATTCTTTAATTTATTCAAAAGAAATGAACCTCAAAAAATTATTGCACCTAAAGGGTTGTACATATACGGAAGTGTTGGTGGTGGAAAAACTATGCTATTGGATTTATTTTATGATACTTTGCCAGTAAGTTTATCATATAATCATGACTTCTAAGATTTTTCATATCATTGATGACATATAAAATATTTGTTTTTAGATAAAAGAAAAGTTGAGAGTGCACTTCAATTCATTCATGTTGAATATACATGCTCGTATACATGAACTAAAGATAAAGTCGGGCAAGGGAGCTAGTTCATTCAGAGATGAAGGTTCTAAACCGTTTGATCCAATACCACCTGTAGCAGCTGATATTACACAAGAGTCGTGGGTCATTTGTTTTGATGAATTTCAAGTAAGTAAAGTGTGAATAAATAAAACTACTTTACATAGTTTCAGTGTGTTTATATTTGCTTTTAAACATTTACAGGTTCCATGTTCACTGTTTAAAGTTGTTTTATTTAATGATTAGTGTGCATGCAAATATAAGAATCAGTATAAAGTATCAATAGTCATAATTCTATTACATTATAATAACAATAATAAGAATATGTTAAAATATATATCACTATAAATAATTATTTTTTTTATTTTGTGTTTGTGTATTTTAAATTATCTACTGATGTGTAATATGTTTCTTTGCAGGTAACAGATATTGGTGATGCAATGATTTTAAAAAGATTATTCACTCAATTATTTGATAATGGGTGTTTAGTTGTTGCAACTAGTAACAGGCACCCTGACGATTTGTATAAAAATGGGCTACAGAGGTCAAACTTTCTACCATTCATACCAGTACTCAAGGCTCATTGTAATGTAATTCAACTAGATTCTGGCATTGATTATAGATTAAGAGGTAGTGGGAACAAATATAGCAAATATTTTTTGTAAGTATTACATTTTAGTAAATATGTTCTTATCTTTTAACCATATTAAGCCCTCTTTGTTCTTAAATTGATAAGTTGTCTTTGTTATTGCAAGTATCTTATTTTATATTGCAGAAACAGTGATATAACTCCTGAGAATAATGCAGTGGAAAACTTATTCAAATTCCTGGTGTCAAAAGAAAATGATACTGTAAGGATGAGGGTTATAAATATTATGGGGAGGAATGTCAAGTTTTCTAGATCTTGTGGAAGAGTACTAGATGCTACTTTTGAGGAATTATGTGATAGAGTAAGTTTGTAAATTTATCATGTTACAGAAGAGCCACAATATGAAGCTGAAACTAGCAGCTACGCGGTGATCAAGGCCAGGGACGACACGCGGAGTGGGGCCCGCGCCCCCGATAAAATTTTAAAGTATGAATAACTACTTACAAAGTGGATAATAAAGAGAAGATGAGCATAAAAAATTATAAACAAAAGAGACCCATTCATCTCCAAATTTATGCAACAAATTTTATTCAAAGACATGGTTTTGAGATGTAAGAAGTCGTAACTTTGTTCCTTACCATCAGATATTAATAAAATTTGATTCAGAACTATGTTATGATGCAATTATAGTGTTGAAAAAGTTACAAAAGGGATACTCCATCCCTTCCATTTTTTTAATAATTTTCATTAATTAAAAGCTACTTTTGACCATGAAAAAAGTCATAACTTTGTTCCTTATCATCAGATATTAATAAAATTTCAATTCAGAACTATGTTATGATGCAATTATAGTGTTGACAAAGTTACAAAAGGGATACTCGATTCCTTCCATTTTTTCTAATAATTTTTATTAATTAAAAGCCACTTTTGACCATGAAAAAAGTCATAACTTTGTTCCTTACCATCAGATATTAATAAAATTTAATCCAGAACTATGTTATGATGCAATCATAGTGATGACAAAGTTACAAAAGGGATACTCGATCACTTCCATTTTTCCTAATAATTTTTATTAATTAAAAGCCACTTTTGACCATGAAAAAAGTCATAACTTTGTTCCTTATCATCAGATATTAATAAAATTCAATTCAGAACTATGTTATGATGCAATTATAGTGTTGACAAAGTTACAAAAGGGATACTCGATTCCTTCCATTTTTTCTAATAATTTTCATTAATTAAAAGCCACTTTTGACCATGAAAAAAGTCATAACTTTGTTCCTTACCATCAGATATTAATAAAATTTAATTCAGAACTATGTTATGATGCAATTATAGTGTTGACAAAGTTACAAAAGGGATACTCGATTCCTTCCATTTTTCTCTGATAATTTTTATTAATTAAAAGCCACTTTTGACCATGAAAAAAGTCATAACTTTGTTCCTTATCATCAGATATTAATAAAATTCAATTCAGAACTATGTTATGATGCAATTATAGTGTTGACAAAGTTACAAAAGGGATACTCGATTCCTTCCATTTTTTCTGATAATTTTTATTAATTAAAAGCCACTTTTGACCATGAAAAAAGTCATAACTTTGTTCCTTACCATCAGATATTAATAAAATTCAATTCAGAACTATGTTATGATGCAATTATAGTGTTGACAAAGTTACAAAAGGGATACTCGATTCCTTCCATTTTCTCTGTATAATTTTTATTAATTAAAAGCCACTTTTGACCATGAAAAAAGTCATAACTTTGTTCCTTATCATCAGATATTAATAAAATTCAATTCAGAACTATGTTATGATGCAATTATAGTGTTGACAAAGTTACAAAAGGGATACTCGATTCCTTCCATTTTTTCTAATAATTTTTATTAATTAAAAGCCACTTTTGACCATGAAAAAAGTCATAACTTTGTTCCTTACCATCAGATATTAATAAAATTCAATTCAGAACTATGTTATGATGCAATTATAGTGTTGACAAAGTTACAAAAGGGATACTCGATTCCTTCCAATTTTTCTAATAATTTTCATTAATTAAAAGCTACTTTTGACCATGAAAAAAGTCATAACTTTGTTCCTTACCATCAGATATTAATAAAATTCAATTCAGAACTATGTTATGATGCAATTATAGTGTTGACAAAGTTACAAAAGGGATACTCGATTCCTTCCATTTTTTCTGATAATTTTTATTAATTAAAAGCCACTTTTGACCATGAAAAAAGTCATAACTTTGTTCCTTACCATCAGATATTAATAAAATTTAATCCAGAACTATGTTATGATGCAATTATAGTGTTGACAAAGTTACAAAAGGGATACTCGATTCCTTCCATTTTCTCTGATAATTTTTATTAATTAAAAGCCACTTTTGACCATGAAAAAGTCATAACTTTGTTCCTTACCATCAGATATTAATAAAATTCAATTCAGAACTATGTTATGATGCAATTATAGTGTTGACAAAGTTACAAAAGGGATACTCGATTCCTTCCATTTTTTCTAATAATTTTCATTAATTAAAAGCCACTTTTGACCATGAAAAAAGTCATAACTTTGTTCCTTACCATCAGATATTCAATAAAATTCAATTCAGAACTATGTTATGATGCAATTATAGTGTTGACAAAGTTACAAAAGGGATACTCGATCACTTCCATTTTTTCTAATAATTTTTATTAATTAAAAGCCACTTTTGACCATGAAAAAAGTCATAACTTTGTTCCTTACCATCAGATATTAATAAAATTCAATTCAGAACTATGTTATGATGCAATTATAGTGTTGACAAAGTTACAAAAGGGATACTCGATTCCTTCCATTTTCTCTGATAATTTTTATTAATAAAAGCCACTTTTGACCATGAAAAAGTCATAACTTTGTTCCTTACCATCAGATATTAATAAAATTTAATTCAGAACTATGTTATGATGCAATTATAGTGTTGACAAAGTTACAAAAGGGATACTCGATTCCTTCCATTTTTTCTAATAATTTTCATTAATTAAAAGCCACTTTTGACCATGAAAAAAGTCAAAACTTTGTTCCTTACCATCAGATATTAATAAAATTTAATTCAGAACTATGTTATGATGCAATTATAGTGTTGACAAAGTTACAAAAGGGATACTCGATTCCTTCCATTTTTTCTGATAATTTTTATTAATTAAAAGCCACTTTTGACCATGAAAAAAGTCATAACTTTGTTCCTTACCATCAGATATTAATAAAATTTAATCCAGAACTATGTTATGATGCAATCATAGTGATGACAAAGTTACAAAAGGGATACTCGATCACTTCCATTTTTCCTAATAATTTTTATTAATTAAAAGCCACTTTTGACCATGAAAAAAGTCATAACTTTGTTCCTTATCATCAGATATTAATAAAATTCAATTCAGAACTATGTTATGATGCAATTATAGTGTTGACAAAGTTACAAAAGGGATACTCGATTCCTTCCATTTTTTCTAATAATTTTCATTAATTAAAAGCCACTTTTGACCATGAAAAAAGTCAAAACTTTGTTCCTTACCATCAGATATTAATAAAATTTAATTCAGAACTATGTTATGATGCAATTATAGTATTGACAAAGTTACAAAAGGGATACTCGATTCCTTCCATTTTTTCTGATAATTTTTATTAATTAAAAGCCACTTTTGACCATGAAAAAAGTCATAACTTTGTTCCTTACCATCAGATATTAATAAAATTTAATCCAGAACTATGTTATGATGCAATTATAGTGTTGACAAAGTTACAAAAGGGATACTCGATTCCTTCCATTTTCTCTGATAATTTTTATTAATTAAAAGCCACTTTTGACCATGAAAAAGTCATAACTTTGTTCCTTATCATCAGATATTAATAAAATTCAATTCAGAACTATGTTATGATGCAATTATAGTGTTGACAAAGTTACAAAAGGGATACTCGATTCCTTCCATTTTTTCTAATAATTTTCATTAATTAAAAGCCACTTTTGACCATGAAAAAAGTCAAAACTTTGTTCCTTACCATCAGATATTCATAAAATTCAATTTAGAACTATGTTATGATGCAATTATAGTGTTGACAAAGTTACAAAAGGGATACTCGATTCCTTCCATTTTTTCTAATAATTTTTATTAATTAAAAGCCACTTTTGACCATGAAAAAAGTCATAACTTTGTTCCTTACCATCAGATATTCATAAAATTCAATTTAGAACTATGTTATGATGCAATACGAGTGATGACAAAGTTACAAAAGGGATACTCGATCACTTCCATTTTTTCTAATAATTTTTATTAATTAATAGCAACTTTTGACCATGAAAAAAGTCATAACTTTGTTCCTTACCATCAGATATTAATAAAATTTGATTCAGAACTATGTTGTGATGCAAGAAGGAAGGGAGAAAGTTGGCACGAAGGAAACTCGTTTTTTTTTTGGTTTTTACTGCGATTTTTATTGACTACTCAATAGTTCTTATGATTTTTTGGGTTGTAACCCCGTCGGTATAAGTTAGAAATCCATAAAATTTAGATAACAAAACCTTTTTTTCTTCATTCATCAATCTTATAATATTTCGCTGCTGAAGTCATATTTGTATTTTTGTTTTACGAAAAAATATTTTTTTTTATCCGGGTTTTATCTATTTTTCTTTTTCTTAAGTATTTTTTATCCTTATTCTTTGTACTATTATATATTTATGTTATTTTAATTTAGTTTGTAATTAATAATTAATCTGTTGGCTAGAAATAAAGATATAATTTTTCACATCTCAAAAAGTCAATCTTTATTGATAAAAATTGTTGGAAATTAAAGAAGAAGCAGAGTATCCCTCTTGTCCTCGACACTACTTTTTCCTTACATCATAATGAAGTTACAGACCAAGTTTTATTAGAATCTGTTGGCTAGAAATAAAGATATAATTTTTCACATTTCAAAAAGTCAATCTTTATTGATCAAAATTGCTGGAAATTAAAGAAGAGGCAGAGTATCCCTCTTGCCCTCGACACTACTATTCCTTTACATCATAATGAAGTAACAGACCAAGTTTTATTAGAATCTGTTGGCTAGAAATACATGTGATTTTTCACATCTCAAAAAGTCAATCTTAATTGATAAAAATTGCTGGAATAAAAAGAAGGAGCAGAGTATCCCTCTTGCCCTCGACACTACTTTTTCCTTACATCGTAATGAAGTAACAGACAAAGTTTCATTAGAATCTGTTGGCTAGAAATAAAGATATGATTTTTTACATCTCAAAAAGTCAATCTTTATTAATAAAAATTGCTGGAATAAAAAGAAGGAGCAGAGTATCCCTCTTGCCCTCGACACTACTTTTCCCTTACATCATAATGAAGTAACAGACCAAGTTTTATTAGAATCTGTTGGCTAGAAATAAAGATATAATTTTTCACATTTCAAAAAGTCAATCTTTATTAATAAAAATTGCTGGAATAAAAAGAAGGAGCAGAGTATCCCTCTTGCCCTCGACACTACTTTTTCCTTACATCGTAATGAAGTAACAGACAAAGTTTTATTAGAATCTGTTGGCTAGAAATAAAGATATGATTTTTTACATCTCAAAAAGTCAATCTTTATTAATAAAAATTGCTGGAATAAAAAGAAGGAGCAGAGTATCCCTCTTGCCCTCGTCACTACTTTTACCTTACATCATATTGAAGTAACAGACCAAGTTTTATTAGAATCTGTTGGCTAGAAATAAAGATATGATTTTTTACATCTCAAAAAGTCAATCTTTATTAATAAAAATTGCTGGAAATTAAAGAAGGAGCAGAGTATCCCTCTTGCCCTCGACACTACTTTTCCCTTACATCATAATGAAGTAACAGACCAAGTTTTATTAGAATCTGTTGGCTAGAAATAAAGATATAATTTTTCACATCTCAAAAAGTCAATCTTTATTGATAAAAATTGCTGGAATAAAAAGAAGGAGCAGAGTATCCCTCTTGCCCTCGACACTTCTTTTTCCTTACATCATAATGAAGTAACAGACCAAGTTTTATTAGAATCTGTTGGCTAGAAATAAAGATATGATTTTTCACATCTCAAAAAGTCAATCTTTATTGATAAAAATTGCTGGAAATTAAAGAAGGAGCAAAGTATCCCTCTTGCCCTCGACACTACTTTTCCCTTACATCATAATGAAGTTAAAGACCAAGTTTTATTAGAATCTGTTGGCTAGAAATAAAGATATGATTTTTCACATCTCAAAAAGTCAATCTTTATTGATAAAAATTGCTGGAAATTAAAGAAGGAGCAAAGTATCCCTCTTGCCCTCGACACTACTTTTCCCTTACATCATAATGAAGTTAAAGACCAAGTTTTATTAGAATCTGTTGGCTAGAAATAAAGATATGATTTTTCACATCTCAAAAAGTCTATCTTTATTGATAAAAATTACTGAAAAATAGAGAAGGGGTGGAGTTTTTTTTTCGTGGTTATTATTATCCGTCCTGAATTTATTTTTCTCTTTTTATTGAACTTATTATCCGGGGAATAGTCAATCATGTTTTTAAAAAAAAATACAGTTGTGGGCCCGGGTCTTTTTTTCTACGTTTCGTCCCTGCGGCTGTCAGCTGGTAGCTGCTAATTTCAGTTTCATTGTTACAGAAGAGCCACAATAGATGTTATACTTAGATATAAACTGAGACTGAGCATATAATATTAATTTAAAATGATTGGTCATTTATGAAAGATCCCTATAATGAATTGTAGCCAATATACCAATAAATATGTAACACCAATAAACTGCTAACTACATATTCTTTAATTATTTTTATAGTTATGTAATGTAATTTGGAGAAACAAAATATGCAGATCACAGTTTAGGTTGAATTTCTTGCTACAATTCATTACAAACAATTATCAATTCGGCTTTGGCTATTGTGATAGGTGTAGGCAGCATAGCAGCTGTAGGCTGTGGCCTATTAGGACATTATTTCTTTGTTTCTTAGAAAACCAGTTGAAAGTTGTGATTTTGGGTGTACACACTGAAGAACATTTTGTTGTGCTAATATCACAAACAGATTATTGAAATAGCAGTTGGATACAATGGCTTGTGGATTTAGTCTTATTTATAAAAGATATTGCTGTGTTTGAAGATGCTATAAGAAAGATTAATGATAAATAAATATAGAAGTGGTCCTATGTGAGACCAGAGATAGAGGTAATTGTAAATGGAGGAACAAGTAAACATTCTAATGGTAACCAAGAGATCAAAAATAATAAATACAAATAACAAAGTTGCAAAAGTATTGATCTCTGCAGCATCTGCAACAGACCCACCAATCCACACTTGGTTTGTGTGATGGATCATGGCTCATTCTCATTATTTGTTATGGGACTAGATAGTAAACGAAAATAAATATATACTTTTTTGTATTGGTAGCGTTTAATATATTATTACCTATAATCACACTTTTATGCCATTATATTTAAAATATTGCTCAAATTAATTATTAAAAAACACATATTAACAGTTCTTAAAGTCACGCCCCTCAACTCATATCAGAACTTGGAGAATCAAACCTTATCCTTACTATATATATTTCGTGTATATCTATCAAATAAAAATATTTGAAAAAAGGCGTCTACACCCCTATTCCAAAACGAAGACCTGTGCTTTCCAGTGGAGACATCTCCAAATTTTCTCCTAATAAAAAAACTTTTTTTGCAGCCTCTTGGTGCTAGTGATTATCTGGTAATATCAAAAACATTTCATACTGTGTTTATAAGGAATCTGCATCAGTTGTCTGTGACGAAGCATCGATCTCAACTTCGAAGATTTATTACCCTTATTGACACACTGTATGATAACCGGGTGCGGGTAAGAACCTCGCACAATACCTAATCAATCTTTGACATAATCGACTATTTGACAATAAGAAAATAAATTATTAACTTTACCAAGTTAACTAGATTTGATTGTTTACAAATTACTATTTTTATAGGTGGTAATAGCTGCAGATTGTGAGCCAAAAGAACTTTTAAAAGCCGACGAAACTGAAGATGTGCCTGATTCTGATAGAGCTCTTATGGACGATTTAAGGATAACAAAAGATTCGGTAGATATATTATTTAGTTTCAAATTAGTTATCTTATAAAATCAGTATCTGTTGTTTTAATGTTAAAAATAATAATTGAACTATACCTATTTTTATATTTCCTTTTTAATTGAGAATCATTTTTTCGAAAATAATGATTTTAATTTCAATACAATGATCTTTTTCATTTGAAATATGTAATGCTATAAAATCATTGTAACTATTTTTTTATATGTGCATAATACATTTAAGGATGTCAGTAGCTTTGGATCTATTTAGAACTATATGTGATGTATTTTTTATGACGATGTCTGTTGTGTATATTAATAAATAAAAGTACCTTAATGAAAAATACGTAAAATCCACTTTGTCTCTGGCAGTCTGAGATGGGACTCGAACCCATGACCATGATAAAGTGGATTTTTAAGCATTTTTCATTAAGAATATTTTACAGTATAGCATTGTGTATAGTATCTCTCTTCTAAATCATACATTTGTTTGATTATAATTATTTTATTTCATTATTAGGAGGATGCAAAGGCAGCAATTTTCACGGGTGAGGAAGAGCTGTTTGCTTGCGATCGTTGCCTTTCAAGAATAATGGAAATGCAAACTGAGGAATATTGGGAAAAATGGGGTAAACATCTAAATTAACATAAAATGAAATTTAAAAAAACTAGTTAAAATTAACCATTGGCCTCAAACACAATGCATTATTTTTTCAACATAATTATGATGATTGGGTCCCACCAATTACTCGTGTATATAATTTGATTTGTTTGTAAATAGAAGCTGCCATTTTCGTCAAAATCACACCATCGTTTAGATGTTTCTCTTGCAAAAACGTATTCAAGTGCGAATGGTACTTGAATATATTTTCCTTTCTTTGAATATTTTTTTTTTTATCTGAACGATGATGCTAGTTGTAGTTAGCTACAAATTAATATACCTACAATTACATAGATTTTGTAACATCGTTATGTGTATTATTGTTGAATTTAATGAAAATGTTGTAAATAGACAATACATAGTTAAAAAGAGCTTTGATCACACTATCCGACAGTATTAGGAAACATTGTCAATAGATATTTTTATTTATTTAGGGATTAAAATGTGATTAAAGCATAGATGAGAATTTTCTATTTATAGCTTCAGGCAGGTTAGCGTATTTCTAATATTGTTTCAGCAATAACTGTGTTTACCATTATTTATAAATAGTTAAGTACTTAAACAAATTAGTTAATATTTTGTTATTTATTTATTGTTTGGAAATATTAAATCATGATTATGTTAAATTTGTTGATTTTTATTGAATATCCTTTTTTTTTTATAAATGGAGTTTTATTAAAACGGAAATTTGTTTGTAAATTTGTCCTAACATAAATAAAAATCTATTGTTAAATAGAAAGTATAAATTTAATACGTTGTGTGTCAGGTTGAGATTGGTTAACTAATTTTTCAATGCAGTTGCTCATAAAGCGCTATTTTTTATCCATTGTAAACACCGAAAGTGAGTCTTTGAACACGTGTTAAATAAAAATGTACTGAAATCCTTTACTACACACGTGCTTAAAAGTATTTTTTTATTTTTTTTTTGCCCGAGCACCAAAGAAATTTAAAAAAAATTGATGAAAATATGTCAAACTTTAGAGGCAAAAGTATTTCAAGGAGCCCAGAACGAATATTTTCAAATAAAAATGTATGACACGAAAACATGTTCAAATATCACGTTTAATTTTAACAAATAATTTTTACCTTTAATACACACTTAGTTTTATTAACCTATATATTTATTTATTTTCTCGCAAAAAGCATTGAAAAATGTAAGAAACTTGAGCGTAAAAGGTTTTTCGAATTTGGCCCTTATTCGTAAAACCTTACTTTCCGCACTCGTATCTTAAATAGCTATTATTTATATGTGTAATAGGTAAAACCGTTTACCAGGATACTGAGGCTTTATTAGAAATCAACATTTTCCGTCTCTGTCTCAACGAGAGAGTGATAATTATTCGGTTGAACCCTATTCTTAATTAAAAATTTTTGATTAAGTAGAAATGGGTATATTTCGTTATGCTAATTCAGGGTGGAAAACAAACTGATGGGATTACTATATGAGAAATAGTATAATAATTATTCAGGCAAATTCTCCTATGTAATAGTAGAGGGTCTATCATCAAAATTAGGATTAAATTATCAGCATAATTCATATGACCAAGTTTATTATTAAAATGACATTTTCTCTTACATAAATTGTTACATTTTAATCGTACATGTGGCTGTAATACTCTTGATAGATCTGTATGTAGGTCTCTTTCTCGGATGGCGTCATTTGCGCTATAACATCATCGTCGATACTGGTTAGTGGCACTGCTTTACCATTTACCAACACGGTTGGGGCGTTGTCATCGGAGTCTGAGTCTTCGCCACTCTCCATTTCAGCTAAAATGTTATATAGAAATTAAAAGGCGGCAAACAGCTAATTTGTTACAATAGTTAGCTTTCAAATCTTTGAATGGGTATATGTTTTATCGACACAGTTCAAATAGTGACTGAACAACAAATATTATTACGACTAACGACTTCGTCCGCGTAGACAGTAGCCTAAGTTACTCTTACATAAGCTATCTTTCAGTGAATAGATGATGGACTTAAGGTTCGGCGCAAACTGATTGAAGATCCTTCAAACGTTTCACGAGTATGCGTGACACGTAGATGATTCGCTAAGTGTGTAAGATGGAATGCACTATTATATATTTATTTGTTAGTCCTGACGTCTCGCAACTGCAATGCGCGACGCATCTTTCTTTAGATATGTGAAGCCAAGGATTGTCAGTATTGTCAGTATTGGATTGTCAGGAAAGTAAATACTTTTAAATTGATTCTGTTGGATTATTTTGTATCATTTACATTTTACACGCATAAGTTTTGACAAATTATCATTTTGATAGGAAGTATTGACAGCTAGTTATAAGTAATTTCTTGACAGTTATAAGTTCTTTAAGAATAGAACGAGTTCAAAAAAGATTTATCTGGCATCTGATGTATTCTTGTGGCACCTCGAAAAAGAAACTCTCTGCATATGATAAACGGTTGGCTCATTTTAACATGAACACATTATCACAGCGTAGAATTCTTAATGACGTGTGTTTTGTTTCAAAAATTCTTGGTCATTGTGTGGATTGTCCTCAGTTGATGGATAGAATTAAGATGCGTGTCCCAGCTCGATATCCTCGAAAATCAATAACGCCTCTAAGTGCACCGTTTCGTAAGACTGTTTTCGGGTCTAATTCACCGGTTGCAAGATTTTGTAAGATAGTGAATAAATTCAGTAATATCATAGATATTCATTTCGACTCGCCCATCAGGATCCGTAAAAAGATCTTAGATAAGTGGAATGGCCTCTGAAGCATTTATACTACATTCTTCAAACTCAAACACAATGGGGTAAACTTTGATGATTTTTGTTTTTTTTTTTTAAGTCGTAGTTGTGCATATTGGTGCATGTTGTGTTTGCCTTTAAGAATTTGAGACAATTAGATAATAATGGTGAAATTAGCAAATAATTGAGAAAGGAATATTGTAAACAAATGTTGGCAAACCTAAATAAATAAATAAGTAATACTATACTATAGATTCCAAATGAACACTCACCGACAGCTGCTAATTCGTCCTTCAGTTTGTATGGGTCTTTAGATTCATTATCACTCGAATCTGAACTATCTGGTTCGATACCCTTCAAGGCGTTTGCTGTTGCATTACCTGAACCTATCAAAAACATCATTAATCATTAAAAACATTAACAGAAAAAATGGCAGTTTGTGTATTTACAACAAAATAACCCATAACTCATGTGGCTTATTGATGTATCTGCGGCTGCGGAAGCGCGGCAAGTATCGGCCAATCAGAATTATTTTAATATCACGCCATCAGGTGGTCCACCAATATCAACGCGCTTAATATGAATGAGACGGACACCTCATGGTTATTTTATTAAGACTCATTATAAAATTTAATCGTACGCTCGGTTACCATCGGAATTAGTAGATCTGTGCCCTAATTATCTAATTTCAACATCTACTGTAATTATGGAACTATGTTTAATGTTGCAATCGCTTTCAGAACTACCGAACCCCCTATCTATGTTATTAATAAACAAGGTTTGGCGTTGGAGTTAATTTACGCTGAGACTGCACTTAGTATTAGTCAAAATTCATATTATTCAACAAAGACTTAGCAAAGGTTAACCTCGAGGTTCCATGGGAGTAATATTTATTCGTAGAAGGGGTTTGCTTATTCTCTGTATATTATGAATTTGGACTAATAATAAAATTGGAATTTTAGCATAAATTTACTCTAACGCTAATCTTTGTTTATTAATAGGACTGTAGGATTTTTGGTAGCGATGATTAAGTTTAAATTGCACACGAAGTCGCCATAAACCGTCATATTTCTAAAACTTGTGTTCGATAATTGGTTTCAAAATTTATTGCAGAAACTTTATGTTTTTTGTATCGTGCTAGCACGCCAGAATATACAAAACTGACAAGTTTCTCCATTCTACTTTTAAGCAAAGAAGAATACAAAATCAATACGGGTGTAGACAGTAAACGAAAATATATACATATTATTTTTATCTGGTAGAGTATAAATTACCAGTAATCACACTTTTATGCTTATTATTTTTATAATATTGCTTAAACTAAGGAGGAAGTATTTGAATAAAAAGGAAAAAAAGAAAGCACTCAAAAAGGACCTCACTAGATGGCGATTCTACCAAAAGTTGATTTTTGCAGGAAACGAATGGACCAAAAATAGTCATTTCCGTTCCTTTTAACTATGTTATTAAAAAACTGAAATTTGCAAAGTTCGAAAATCAGATATCAATGCAAATACGAAAAAGTACAAACAGAATATGAGTTTTTATTGACTTTTCAAAATGAATTTACTTTTATACATGAAATAAAACCGGACATATTGTGGTAGTACGTCAGACTAACCGTGTGTAAATACCAACCTGTGTTTTGTTTTTCGTGTGCTAGTAGAACAGACATGATATCGTCGTTCTTTTCTTTGCCCATATTTTTAACGTTACTGGCGTTGCTCGCAGCTTTCTCCAAAGCCGCATCGGTAGAGTGTACGCTGTCGCTCTAAAATTTAAAACTCGTTATAAGGATGTAGACATTAAACTGAAAAGCTTTGACCTGGCATTTCCTAAAGACGCTTCCGAAATAGCAATATTTTTCGGCAATTAAAACAATATTGGCAATAAAAAAAATTACCAGGCTGGCCACTGTATTACAGCCACTAATTGCCCATTTAGAAGCCCTTTATGAACAGACATCTTAAGGTGCATTTAAACCAAACGAACTAAGAGCTAGAGCAAGAACATGAGCATTCTATCTTGTTCTTCTAGTGTAAACGAAAATTAACTTTAAGCGTTTCCACCAAAAGAAAATCAATGAGCAAGAATTGGCATTGTTCTCGAATTAAGAATTCCATTTCTGTACAACGTTTAGACCAAGCGGATGTTCATGTAATCGATAGCTATGTGTACTCAACTCATTAGAACATAAGAACGCTTTGAAAATACCGCTCCGATGAGCGAGCGTATTCGAACACGCAAGAACTCTCTAAGCAATTATTCGCATGCTCTAGTGCCGATTACACCAAGCGAACGAATGCTCAGTCCTGTTTACACTAAGAGTCTAATAGAGTGGGGATAGAAAGACTATACGGTCGTTTGGTTTAAATCGACCATTACATGAATTATTTTTAAGAAAATAGTGTACACAGAGATTATGTGTAACGCTATAAGTCCATATCGTGCAACAATTGACTGGTGGTTAGCAATGGTCAAATTGGTATAGAACTTTTCATAGTTAATAGCTAATAATCTCCGCATAATAAGGGAGGGAGTGAGAGAACTTCAAGGGCTTCGTTACGTTATTCAACGCATCGGTCGACAGACTGTGTGCCAAATTATAGAACTTCCGAAGCAGTACAAGGCAGCGTCCACGTTATGTTCGGCAAATTCGGTATACAAAATAACACATACTTGGTCATTTGTAACGATTGTACTTTCCACCATCCATACAGGTCTTTCTTTGCGAACTGCAGTAGCGTCATTAGCGTTGTCATTCTCGCCGATGGTGATGTCAACGCGGGTTTCTTCTACCGCTAGACCTTGGTTACGTGTAGCCTCGCCCGACCACTGTTCTCCAGGTGGACGCATCAGCGGTTGTTTCATTGTCAATCTGGGAAGCAGAGATTTTATTAACATCGAGCTTACATTTAACCAGAAACTAGGCAGTTCCAAAACGGCCAAAGCTTTCCAATCGACGTAATATGTTTGAAAATTAAGTTCCAATCATATTTTAGTGTTTGTTTTATAAAATTTTTCAACAGAACCTTTTTAACTGTGTCTGTCTGTCACAGCAGGGCTATATATTTTGGGGCGGTTGCATTATAAGCCAATTCCAATGGATAACGTCAATACAAATGAATTAATGGTTTAAAATATATGTCGCATCATCATTACGAAGATCGTTTGATTTAGTTTCTTTTATTTTAATTGCTAGTTACTCGATTACTTAATTACTCGATTGTAAAGAGAGCGTGATCATCGATACCCTTAATTTTATTAGAACGGTGACACTGACTTTGACAGTTCGTTAATAAAAAGCAAGTTGCCGCCATTTTGGCACACATTCTGTTTCCGATCGCCGAGGAGTAAAGACATCAGATGACATCACGCTCATCTCGTTATATTTTCGTAAGAAAAGTGATAAAATGGAACAAATCCACGTTGGTATACACGCCTGCAGTGTTATTTTAAAGATAGTCCTCCGATATGGACGATCTATTTGGGCTTCGTAAAAGCCCATTCGGACTACCCGCCGTTATATACAAACTTGTGACTGTTACACTGGGAAACCCTATTTTCAGAATGAATAATATACATAAATCGAAAGTAATCTATTCCCAGGTTTAAGTAATCACATGCGAGTCAGGTTCAAATTAATTATTTTTTTATGATGTAATCTTTAAATGCTTTATACTTATCTTTAGATCTTGTGCTTTGTTGAGCTTCCTTACAAAAGACTGTGGTATAAATATTTAACCAAACCAGTGCGTTCTGGTCAAATAACACATATTATTTAAGGATATGGTAGCTTAATATTTGAATGTTTGTATAAACAATTTCATTTAGAATTCAAAGTCTGTTTAATTGGCCTCCTACGAGTTGATAATAGGCAAGTTCTTACGGTGTGCTACATTGATAATATATATTTACCCTCTAATAGTGTTGATGTCCACAGGCTCTGGTTCCAATATCTCTGGTGCCAATTTAATTCCTTCAACTTCTCGTAATAGAATGTAGAGTGTTTCAAGCTGTTCGTTAAACTTGGCCAATAATAATCTCGAATCTTTTTTTGGCAGTGCTGACTGATCTTCTTCGACTACCTGATTGCAAAATGTACAACGAAATTCTTGGGTCATCATATCATACAACTGATCCGCCTGTAATATTGAAAAAAAAAATTATAAAGAAATACGCAAATAATAATTCTATTATGTAAATAAAAAGTGGCAAGGAAAATATGCTTGTGAAAAGTTCCTGATAGATTCTTACTTCTAAGTCTGTGAACGTTTTCCCGCACGATGGACATTTGAAGCTGGCACGACTTGTTGCGTCGCGTTCTTCTGTTTCCATACGTTTCCGCATCAGATCTAATTTGTACTTAACAACATTAACAAATGTTTTATAATTTATGAAGTAGTAATTAACTTTTTGCGCTTTGCCGTCAGGACCTGCAATTATAGAGGTAAGTCTGCATCATAATTAGATCAAGATTGAAGATATTGTCTGCGTTGTCGTTGTGATAATTACAGATGTGGAGCTCGATAGCGCAGTGGTTATTGTGTTGTTGAAGTTAAACAACTTGAGCAATGGCTACTCATAGGATGGGTGACCAAACTTTTACTATCTCCATGCTTCAGATGCCGCGTAATACATCTGCAGTCGGTTACACCCACCAACTAACTATGGTCCCGCGTGGTGGGTCATGGTTCTCCATAGGGAAAATGTGTGTCCTAACAGTGGGAACGTTGATAAGTTGATGATGTGCTATGGATAGAGTAACATAAATACCTGTTTCCATTTTTAATCTGACTTGAATAAACTTATCGTTTTTTAAAGTAGCTATACGAGCTCTTAACATTTTTCTTTCAAATTTCAGTAATTCACAAATATCATCTTCTTTCATACCTGAAAATAGAAAATTTTAGTCTGTTAATAGATTTCCACGTATTTAATAGGTATTTGCTCATTTAATGTGTTTAAAAATGTAAATAGAAAATGTTTTTTTTTTTTGGGGTTAATTTTTGTTCGACTTTTCATAAATTTAAGAGTTTAATGTAATTATTATTATTTCACTTACAAGGATTTCTGACCAGCATGTCGACGATAAGTGCATCTTCAATGGTGTAGAAACCCCTTACTACAAGACGAGCTAGCTGTTTCAAGCTGCTGGGAACCTCTGTTACCAGGCGCTCCTCAGTCATGTTTGTGCAATTTCTGTAGATACTAACATTATCAATAAGTATAATTTGTGCATCACCGCTTACATGGAATGCAATAAAAATAAATACATTGCTAGAGCCACGCCAAGAGTTCATAAGGACATCGACCTATGCAAGCTTTGTGAGTGGAAAAATAAGCTGTGTTTCACTAAACGAATATTTTTAGTGTTATATTTTGGGTGTAAACAGAATCGAGTAAATATATTGATCAATGTACGATGGACGCTCGGAATTTTATTTTATTTACTATAATTTGATTCGGTCCAAGTAATAATGCCTAAAGGACTCTACGTGGAAACTACGTAACATGGTATATACGTTTATTTCATCAGGGACTAATAAAGGAATGAATAAAAATAAAATCTAGTGGCGCTGCTGTGCTGATTTACACGAGTCGTTACTTACATGATTGCAATTAAAACTTTTTGGGAGGACACCAACTAGGTATCGATGTGAATCTAAAAATACTTATAGAACAAATAATGAACACAGTATTTGATATGTACCCAACAATTATCATATTAAAAGTATGTGTCTGAATTAGACACAATAAAGGTGAAGAATATTATCAGATATTATCCTAATGAAAAATATCTTTTTACAAGGGATTAAATGAATTGTAATAGAAGTGAAGGTTAGAAAAGAAAAAGAAATCCAGGCGTTGGAGATATTTATGGAGTATTTTAAGATGAATAGGCACGAATATAGTACCTATTGTGAATGCAAAATCTATATATATATAAATGAATCACCAAAACATGCGTAACTGTACCATATTAAATGATTATTTTTTTATGAGTCCCTTATTGTCGACGCAAGGTAATAACATAAGAAAATATATAAAAACATATATATTTATAAAAAACGGGTATGTGTCGCTCCAATTTTAGTATATGTACTGCCGAAGCAAGTACAAAAAAAAAACTGGTGCGAAGTTCGCCGGGTCAGTTAGTTAAAAATGTATGAAGAATATTTAAAAACAAGTTTTAGTTTACACAATTTATTTTCTTAGATAACAACTAAAATTATAAAAAGTATGTACATATTATCTAATATTACGTTTTTTATAAATCATAATAAAATGGAATTTAGTATATGTATCTGCAATATGAAAAATATATATTTGTACATACAGATTTTCATTTGGCAGTATGTTTCGTTAATTTTTTCGGGCCATTTTACATCTTAAAATTAATACATACATATATCTAAGACTAACTGTTATTTTAATTAAAAAAACATTCGACGTAATAACGTAATTTTAAATTCTTAAAAAATTTATCATCTATTGTTGAGTTATTTTTTCTATACAAAAAGTTAAATAAATGGTCATTATGAATTATCAATATAACAAAATTCAATCATACCCAGGCAGATATATTTATTAATGAACAGTACAAAACAGTGCAATTGGTTATTAAAGTACGTACCTATTAGGAATCACAATTAAATAAATAATATACAGTATCACAAAAGAACAGTTCCAAGATATATTGAGAACTAAGTAATTGTTGTAGGATCATTGTGCATTTTTATTTAAGTAATTAATTAAAATCAGTCTTTACAAAAAGTATAGTATTGGTATTAATTAAAATGTAATAAAATATTACAACTGAAAATATAACTGATGAATTTATTAATAACATAAAAATGAAGACACTTTCAGACATGTTACTTTAAATGTGTTGACTTTATTAATAATTTGACTAAATATTCAAAAGTAGCAGAATTGACTTTACCTTTGATGAATGCAAAGCTTTATATTAAGTACATTTTCTAGTTTCTTTGTGCCACATTTATCTGACCCTAAATTTTAAATAAATAATTCAGGCATAATTGTCATGATTCAATAGTACTTATGCCAACATATTATGACATAATGAGAACAGGCATTTCGTTATACAATCAAAAATGGACAGTTCTAAACATTATACATCATTTTGTAAAATAAATTACTAGCAATATTAAATTATAATACAAACTTCAATGCTTAAATATTCTTAATATTAAACACTATGAACTCATTCATTATGTTGTGTTCTTTCAAGAATTATTTGTATGTTATCTAATGTCTGGTAAATAACCCTAAAGTTGGGACGATCACTAGGATGGTGGTTCCAACACTGTTTCATCAAATCATAAACACATCTTGGTGTATTATCAGGACAAGCAAGTACATTGCCATCTTTCAAAAATCTTACTACTTCTTCATGTGTCATACCAAAGTATGGCTGTAGAGCAAATGAAAATATTTCCCATAGGCATACACCATATGCCCAGACATCAGATTCTAACGTATACTTATTATACAAAATACTCTCTAGTGGCATCCATCTCACAGGAATAGCATCATGTTCATCCCCTTTATAATAATCTTGTAAGTAAATTTTATGTGATAGGCCAAAATCAGCGATTTTTACAACCATGTCATCATTAATTAGACAATTCCTAGTTGCTAAGTCCCTATGAACAAATTTGCGATCTGAAAGATACACCATTCCTGAAGCAATCTGTCTTGCAATATGCAACAGGTCCAAGTGGCTGAGAGGCATTGCAAGTAGTCTTAAGTCTTCTCTGTTTTCTACAGCAGGTGCAAAGTTGGGTGCTGTACTACAAGCTCTTAAATATTCATTCAAGTCACCTTTTCCCATGTATTCAAATAATAAGCACATTGGTCGACCAATAGCACAAACACCTAATAATTTCACTATATTAGGATGATCAAAGTCTGCTAGTAAACAAGCTTCTCTTTCAAAATCTAGTTGCAAGTCATGTGAAGCTTCATCTTTGAGCATTTTAACAGCAACCAGAGTGAATTCTTCTTCTGGCACGAGCCCTGGTGCCTTGGCTTGGAAAACTCTTCCAAATGCACCTTGACCTAAGTCACGTATGTAAATTATATTATTTCTAGGGAACTCAAGTTTTTCAAGTTTTGGATTTAATTGTGCTCCAGTAGTATGGTAGGCTAAATTGCTGGGAAGTTTGTCTAAATCAATATCCATGTTTTGTCCATCTCTACGATTTGAAATGTTACATTTGGAATAATGATTTTTCAAGAAATAATGACACAGCAGTGCTACTGATGCTATAAGAAGAACGCAGCCTAGTCCACCAACTGAGAGTAATAATACAAAAGATGGTGTGAAATAATTTTCCATAACTATATTTGGACCACTGATATTGTCAAATTCATCACTTGAATTGGCACATGCTGGTATATCACAATGCTCCCATCTTACATTTGGATCCATGGTATAGCACCAAGGTTTCTGCTCTTCACCTCCTGCATTTCTACAATAATTTGTGGAATTTTGTACTTCTGGAAAGACAAGAGGTGGCCTAGTATGTTGATGAGGGGACTGTGACTCCCAAGCTTGACAGGCTAATCCTGTTTCTGTCATGTTTGTTGTGCCTTGATAATATCTACCATTACCTTTGATACAATTAGTTGTTATTTCACTATAGTCCATATCAGTAATACCTGTGCTATGACATGTAACTTGTGTGCCTTTACCTGCATATTTAGGAAGCTTCTCACATTCAGGAAATCTAAAATGTCCTCGGGATTCAAAGAACACTCCACGACGTTTCTGTTCTTCAATAACAACCCAATCATTGTAACAAAATTGCATTTTAACAGCCATACAGTCTTCATAACATATGGGTAAAGCAAAATAACCTACCCCATCTTTATCAATACACTTTGGGAAAGCGTAAGCACAAAGTAATTTTTCAGCTCTGCTTCTGCATGGTTCTTTCAAAGTAGATATCATCTCCTTCCACAATCCTGTTGTAATGTTTTCATTGTGTAAGCCTCCAGTGCTCTGATTATACCAGACGTAACCCGTTGAATAATTTTTACATATTTTTCCATTGTATGGACCACAGTAAAGATGCACTGATTTAATGAACAGGAGCACAGTAAGTACTTTATAGTAGAAGTCCATTGTTTTAAAATAAAATCTTTTTTAATTCGATGTACTGTATATATCGTTGCATTTTAGATTTCGATACAAAGTTATAATAACACGATACTGAATATACAATGGCGGACACATTACCTATGAATTTGTTATTGATTTTACTTTTAGTGAGAGAAATAATTCCAACAAGAACAAGAACTGCATGCTATGGTATTAGTCTGTGGTAATAATGGCGAAGGCAATAAATACGTTCAAAATCAAATTCACTCAGTGGTATCAGACCAAGCATTAACACAAGACTAACACGGTTTTCTTCGTGTATTTTACGAATTATCTAAATTCGTACAATTATTTACTCCATGCTTATGGAGTATGGAACATTTAGATTATTAAATACTCATTTAATAGATATCGTACTATTTTATTAGAATTAATAAATTAAATAGTAAAGCTTACATTCCTGAACATAATTGACAACAAATAAAAAAATCGGATCGTTTTCGTTCCGTTGGTTGGTAATATCTGTCAGATGTCAAAATAAAAACTACATACCGTTCTGTTTATTTTCTTGCAAATGGCAGCAATTGAGAAAGTTAAAGTTGTTGTTCTTGGTGATTCAGGTGATTACATTATCTTGAATATTCTTGACACTTTGTATGTATTGTAGAGAAAAAAAACTATATAAATTAATTCGTTTTACAGTTCCTAACTTATTGTCTGCCAACCTGACGGCGGCCATGACACAAAGTGAATTCAGGCAACTGTACAAAAATAATAAATAGTCATAGCGCGTAATTTGAAATAAGTTGAATAGTTTTTTTTTTTACATTTTATAAATGTTACTGTGAAATACCTTAATTCCAAAATATCATTTTATTTTAGGAGTTGGCAAGACATCTTTAACTCACTTAATAGCACACCATAAACCATTATTATCGCCAGGCTGGACCGTAGGTTGTTCCGTTGAAGTCAAGTTGCACAAGTACAAAGAAGGAACACAAGCGCAAAATACATTCTTTGTTGAATTTTGGGATGTCGGAGGTTCAAATGGTCATAGAAATACCAGGAATGTATTTTATCAGCCTACACATGGTATGTACATATTATCGACACTTCGAAACATTTAATAATAAAAAAAAAAGAATTGATGTTATATCGTTATCGATAGTTAAACGGAGGTAATATATACCATTAGCGATGATTTAAAAACTATAAGCTATATGATATATATGGGCTAAAGTGTACCTCGACTGATCCAAAGTTTATTGAATATATCAGAAATTATTCAAAAATGTTTAGGAAAGTAATTGTAACACATACAGCAAAAGCAAAGTATATATTTTGTGCAATACTGAATTTTATTTTAGACATGTTAAAGACAACTCAATTATTAAAAAATTCAATTCCATTAATATAAAAAAACCGAAGATCTTTGGGGCGTTTCAACTTATGTTATCAAATCTAAAATACCGTCTATAGCGCCTCAATTAACTTTAATAAATGCATTTATGAAGGAACTTTACCTGATTTAATGAATAAATGGTAAAATAAACCCACTTTTCAAGGCAGGCGACAAGTCTGCTCCCAGTAATTTCAGACCAATCTAATTACCAGCGCTTATTAAAGTATTTGAGAAAATTATTTATAATCAAATGCTTGCACACTTCGTTAAATAAATTACTTCACAAAAATCACTTTGGTTTTAGCAGAGGTAAATGTACCACAGATGCTAAATTGCACTTCTGAGACATATCTATGATGCTTGGGAGAATAAAAAAGATGCTATCGGCATTTTTTGCGATCTCTCAAAAGCATTCGACTGCGTTAGTCATGAAATAGTGTTGGGGAAATTAGAGCATTATGGTGAGAGGAAAAATACACTTAATCTAACTAGAATTCAAAAATTCACTTAATAGAATTCAAAAAGTAGTAATTACTGAAGCGAAATCTTCAGGGGCACCCATTACTATGGGCGTACCTCAAGGATCAGTATTAGGACCATTGCTTTTTCTAATTTACATTAATGATCTTCCTCACTTTACGAAGAATTTGTGCGATACAGTATGATTTGCTGATGACACCTCTTTAGTGTTTAAAGTTAAGAGGGGTAATGATTGTTTTGACGATGTAAATGATGCTGTCGACAATGATCTACAGTGGTTTGATAATAATAATTTAAAGCTTAATTCAAATAAAGCGAAATGTGTAAAGTTTTCATTACCTAATGTGAGGCATTACAGTACACTTATAAATGTAAATAGTGAAAAAGTTGAGTTGGAGGAATCAACAAAGTTCTTCAAAATTCCCTAATGCAATGGGATCATCATATTGATAACTTGTCAAGTAGACTGAGTTCTGCAGCATTTCTACCCTACACAACACATACACATACAGTCACACTATCACAGTTACACATACATATGCATACACACACACTCACACACTTCACACACACATTTACACGCCGCACTAGTCTAGAGTAGTATAGTGGGTACTTACCTGGGGACTTGCCTGCTGTGCTTGCTCGACGACTGGTGCGGCGCCGGGACCTCGGTAGGGCCGTAGCCGCGGCGCGACGAGACGGGATGCGACCCGTCGACTGGCTGGACGCCCCTGTCTGCCCTTCGGGGCTGATACAGGGAGTGATGAGGCTGGTCTTCTGTGGCGCATCGACCTACGGGGGAGGGGATCCACGATAAGGGCTATGCCTGTGTGGATCCTCTCAACACGATGGATAGGGGACCGGAGATTGCACAGTTGCGCATCTCCGGTCTCTAGCAGGGGCAGCTGGCTGGTTCGCGCACCGGTCGGCATTGCACGCTCCTGACTCGTCGTGGGGATGCGTCTCGAATGTCTCTGAGGCGTACCCCCAACCCGAGTGGGACCTGCCCTTTTCAGGGCGGCCCGAATGGGGGCGAACCGCACGGTGTATGGCTTTTGGGCCGATCCCGCGCATCGCCCACCATGAGAGGGACATCGCTGAGTTTTAGTGGGTAAACTCCTGTTTCTTGTCTAGCCCCCTCGGGGGTGGGGCCACAGGAGGAGTCCCACATCACCCGTGGAGCCCGCGCAGGGTGAAGCGGGTAAGCGTAACGCATTTCTCAGCGTCAAAAAAAAAAAGTTCTGCAGCATTTGCTCTTAAGAAAATTAGACTCTTGACAAATGTTGAAACGGCAAGATTGGTATATTTTGGTTATTTTCATAGTGTAATGACGTATATCGTTGTGGCCCACAACAGAACCCCACAACTTGTGGGGTTCTGCGGCTAGCATTCAAGATATTTTTATTTTACAAAAGAGAGCTATCCGGATATCTGGTATCCAGTATCAGCTACCATTGAGTTGTTTGTTCTCACAAGTGCCGACTAGACTAGCGCTCCGATCAAGGTGACCTTGCTTTGATGTTGGTTTGATGTGGGATTCTTCACTTTGCGATCCATACGGTTGTAGTTAAGTGTCTGACAAAGGCAACTTTGGTCGGAATACGGAGTACAAGGGTTGCCAAACGTTAGACAAAATTTAGTATTAGGTCTGCTTATTATACCTACACTGTTAGAGAGATATATTAAAATAAGTAAAAATTTTGAACACTGATATGTAACAATTAACACACGCACAGTATTAACTTTTGCCTTATCATGTCAACAATAGCAATTCCAGCTACCATTAGTTAGGTATATTCAGAATCTCTGTGGGTCTCAGAGAAAAGTTAGTTCGAATCGCGCAACACAAAGATTCAGAGGGCATGTCAACTTCAATCCCTTACTCCACTGCCTATCGCCCAATCTAGATCATAGAAAGAAAGACCGTACCCGAGATATGGAATTCAGCTGGGAGTAGAGTTGCCAACTCAGCCTGTCAGAAAGCAGGGAGGTAAAAAAAATCAAAATCTATTTTATTTAAAGTTGTATTTTTTCACTGCGAGAAGCTTGTGAAATCAAAAACAATATCAAGATCTTTTGATTACAAACAAAATCATAGAATTTTTTACATGTGTAATTGAAAATTCTTTGTTTGTAATTTAGTTCTGCGACTTTCATTTCATTTACTACGCTAAAAACACTTTCAGCGGTAGCGTTTGACATAATCATCTTTTTTATTTGTTTGCCAGGTTCTTCTTACTTTAAAAATAAAAACATGTGTAAAGTTATCAAATTCGTGCGTACCACTTATTCAAATAAGTCAAATATAAGTTTTCAGTCCGAAAGATTTCTTCGAAGCAGTATATTTTAATTGTAATTTCCTTTTTCCGGGATAAAATGTAACGCATTTTTTACGCGAGAATTCTTGTATAGGTATAGCAGAAATGCGAGCAAGGGGTGAATGCCTAAAAACATTAGTCCGTGTTATTTCTATTAATAAAGCTTATTTGTTGTAGGTATTATTCTAGTACATGATTTAACAAATAGAAAAAGTCAAATTAATCTACAAAAATGGCTCTCCGAAATCCTTAATCAAGACAATTCAAATCCCACACTACAGCACGTGGATGTTGATCCTGAACAGTTTTTGGGCTCCACACAGGTATATAAACTCTTATCATAATTATTATTAAGTTCTAGTTCAGGCGCAATAACGGGCATTGACCCATGTTTTATATCTTAGCGTTAAAAGTAAACGTTGCGTATCGTTAATGCTGCCCATAGAACCCCAGATAGAATATAACCCCCTTATTCCATTGAGGGACGAATACAAAATCAATTGCAGAAATTTGCCATACTATAGTAGTCTGACGTGCAGCCGCAGCCGTGTGTACAACATATTTCGCGATAATAACAAAGTCCGACATCAATCTGAACCTAAAATTCAGATCGCTGCTACACGTGGTTGAGAAAATCTGACGATTCCGAAATTGTCATCGTAATATTGTAAACATAGTCAGTCAGTTAATTATTATGTTAATGCTACGGTCGCAAAGCATATGTTTTGGGATTTTTCATCCCCATGGATTCGTCTGAAGGTTAGTCAAAACGCTAATATCCACTAAACCTCCTTCGATGCACCTTTACATTTGAGATCTAGCTCCAAATCCAGCCGCCGTTCAGCTCAAAGGCCACCCTCACAACGGAGGAGGCTCGAGTGCATAGCTATGAGCATCATCCGCTATTATTCTTTTATTTCAGATACCAATACTTGTCATTGGTACAAAATATGATTTGGCTGAAGAGACACAGAGGAAAAATCAGTATAGACGTCTAGCTAGCAGTATTGCGGAGCAATGCGGCGCTGATGAAATATTTGTCAATTGTCACCAAATCAGGTACCTACATCAGGTTTTAATCTTTTTTACTTAGCAAAACTTTATTTCGTGTACCTATGTAGTCCTATGCTTCGGTAAAATTTGTGCTCCTTAATAATGTGATAATGTCATTGTTATTATAAATTACTTCACATTAATAAAGAAATACTTTTAATTACAATTTAAAGTAAGTTAAAGGTTTTGCCGTATTTGCCCCATTGCCAGGCACATTGAGTACAGTATTTTGACTTTACGCCCCCTCATAATAGAGAAAATTATGCAAAGCTGAGCACAGAGGACAGCTTTAGCATTTACAGTAAACAAACCAGCTCGATGCGCAATGCCATTGTAACAAATAAGTTTCGAAAACTTTTTAAATTATAGTGGTTTCCTTATAAAACATGTACTTTTGTACCTAATACTTGTATAAAAGTATAAAATATTTGTTTTAAAATAATATAATGCTAATGTACTATTAATGACCTAACATATTACAACGATATTTTGCTGATTTAATATTTGATAAAAAAAATGTAGATATGAGAACTGATTTTCGATTAAATCGAGCTTTGAAAGATATATTTATGATTATTTTAATCGCGATGTTTTAAAGAATGACAATTGAATTATTAAAAATATACGAACCTAAAATAAAAAATCTTCAAACGCAAACAAAACAAGAAAAGACATCACTCTAAAAATTTACATACTTAAGACATAGTTATGATGATATCTATATTAATACTTAATCTGAATCATAGACACCATACTTAATTAATATTTTGTTACTTATAATGAACACCCTAACCTTAAGAACTCCTGGTTTGAATAGAAAAATTATGATATAGTCCATTTATTGAGTACATTATACGCGGAAAAAGGGAAAACCAGGGGTACGACCGTTCAACTTTTTAGTCATACATAGGCATACGAGTTTCTACGGGAGTAATATATACTCCTGGAAGGTGCTTATTCTCTGTATAATATGAATTTGGACTAATACTTAAATTTAAATTCTAGCGTAAATTTACTCTTGTTTATTAATGGCACTGTAAAATACCAACAAAAGATATCAAAATAAAACATGAAATGATACCTGTATCGTCATAGCATCGCTTAGGTGTCGTATCCTAAGAACAGAATCAAGGTTATAGTTAGGCGTTCGAAAACCAGGCGTGCGAAGTAGCTGGCGCCCTCGGAAAGCTTATGTTCCATTTAAATACTCGAGATACTGCGATACTAGTATATCATGATAATATTGAGTGAGTGATATAATAAAAATAATAATGAAAATTAATGCTAGGCAACTTGCATACATTCCTCAGATCCTAAATTAAGTATCAAAAACAACGAAGTTAACAAAACTATTTTTTTTGAGGTACCGCGTTAGATTCGTATAAAAGTTAAAAGTTGTTTTAAACCAGTGTGCTAGCCACTCGGCCGCGGAGGTCCGTGAAAGAAAGTAGAAAGAAAGAGAAATCATTTATTGAACACACACACGTGCAATTTTTCAATCCAGCATCCGATGTGGTGTCCAAAAGTTGCTAACGACGACATGTGCTGCAATTAATTGCGGCGCCGTTTTTCATTTGGCTCCCTTACCCAAGTGCTTGGGTCAAATCAAATAACAAAAGAAATCCTTGTGATAATCATACAACCATGACATGCTATATTAACATACCGATATCACATTAACCGAGTGGTTAAAGGATAATATTTTTTTAGATCGTTAGCACCAGGCACCAGCAACTCTGTCAAACTAACGAGATTCTTCGACAAGGTAAGTAATAAGAAAAATTCCTCAATTTTTTTTCATATTAAAAATAGGGATGACGACTGGGATTAAAAAAAAGAAAATCTATTTAGTACGCCTGTCAGTTAATAGAATATTATGAGTAAGATACGTATTTTTTATTTCCTTCAATTTAAAAAGAAACAGCACAGATAACAGGCATTAAAGTTGAGGGGTCTCGCTACGTCAGTTTTTAATTTAGTGATTACGGAAAAATAGGTGTTTAATATTTTTCAACAATCTACTTGAAGGACAAACAAAAAAAAAATTAGTCGTCATTCATCATCATCATCATAAGCCCTTTTACGTCCCCACTGCAGGGGCTCAGGCCTTCCTTATGGATGGTTAAGGAGGATGGGCAATGACCCTCCACGCTGGCCCAATGCGGATTGGAGGGTATTAACGACTGCAAATGCAGTCGGGACCAATGGCTTAACGTGCCTTCCGCAGCACGGAGTAGCTCGAGATAATAATTTTTTGGTCCCCCATCCCGTGACCGACCCTTACGAAACTTGCTTAACGATAACGATCGCGGGCCGCGCGGGTGGCGTTATGGATAAGCGCGGGCGGCGCTTATCCATAACGCCACCGAGCTAGTAATTTAATACATAAAATTATAATAATATGAATGAGTCGTCATTCATATTATTATAATTTTATGTATAAAATTTTGTACAAATCGATGAAAGTTATGATTAATATTTCCCCTTCCTCGTGGTAAATTATGAGAAGGAGAAAATTAAATTCGGAATGACCCATAACATCCATGCTGGATGCCGAATTTTGTTAAAAAATGTTTATAACAAATACGCAATGTACCAAATAATAATAATAATTGTATGACAATAAAACATATAGGGATAATGGGCCATGATTTAACAGGGGACACAGTCCGGATAGGTGAGCGTTTATGACTTCAGATTCAGCCAGTACCAACGTGCCTCCCGAAGCATGGATGAGTTATAACCAGTCGCCCATACTATAACCAACCCTTGCGAAAGTTACTTTACTTCCGAATTGCAGATTGAACGCGCTAACCACTGCGAGTTTTCATATTATTATTTACATAGTTAAAATTATAAATAAGAATCATAATTCGTCTTATTTATAATTTTGGCTATGGAAATGCGCAAACCAAAGTGTATTGTCGAGGTTTTTGATTCTAGATACTCGCTTATATATTATGGCTATTTTTTGTTGCAGGTTATAGAAAGAAGATATTACTCGCGTGTAAGTCCTTTCCCCGACAAAAGAAGACAAATCCCATCCTACATGATGACGACATCAACCCCGTTATCAAGTAACAAAGCTCCACAGTACATGAGCCCACGTTTTTACCATATGGACTGAGAATAGATAGAAACTCTTAAGTACAAGACAACAAAAATGAAATTATGCCCTTTACAAATAATATAATAAAACTTATTGTTTTGTCAGTCAGTCAGTGAAAGTATCAGAGTATTTGTTAATAGATGTGGTTGCCCATTTCGTTTGGCATTTCGGGGCAATTTAAAAAAGTGCTGTAAGAATGAAAGAAAATAAAAACTATTTTTGTTAAAGTCTGCTTTTATTAAACGTTTTCAGTAGTTTTAAAGAGCCCAAATGCGCACATAGTCGACTTGTAGAGATGCGTCTCTTCCATCGTTTATGTTGAGGTTCCAAGTTGGGAGCCAATTGTTTCGCGCGCGCCAAAAGTCAGTTGAAGCCTGTAAATAAGTTTAAATAAACGCACACAGTTCGATAACACTAGTACCTACATAGATTGAGTATTCGTATTATATTTGATACAATGTGTATTTGTCAAATTTTGAAAAAGCCCCTTTCTTAATATCGAGTTTCTTTTTCGGCAATAAAGACTTTCATATTAGAGCGCCATCTCTTGGTGGTATTCCAAACTATTATATCACTTATATTACAATAACATTTGAAATGTAATAATAAAAGATTATTTTAGCGAGTCTAATAAAATAATCTTTTTTTGAACTCAACACTGAAAATGAGCAATGAGGAAGTATTTAAAAAAAACATTTGTTCTCGAAATCAAAGTAGATGTCGCTACCGTACTTTCTTGATTTCTCCGTGACAACACTTCCGGTTTTGTTTTATGTATTAAAGTAAATTCATTTTCAAAACTCAATGAACAACTCATATTCTAATTGTACTTTTTCGTATTTGTGTTGATATCTAAATTTCGAACTTTACAAATTTCAGTCTTTGATCCATTCGTTTCCTGCAAAAATCAACTTTAGGGTCGCCATCTAGTGAGATGTTTTTTAGTGCTTTCTTTTATTTTCTTAAAATATTTCCTCATTGTGCATTTGGAAAGCAAATGTGCTTAACAGCTTATAATCTTAGAATCTAATATATATATAGCGTGATAATATAATTCCACATACTGTCCGTATCGTTATAAATGCATTGTGATAATTTATAAGTGAATAAAAAAATATCATTTTTTTATTTCTGTTGGTCTCTTAGGCTATCGATGTATGGACGCTGAGCAATGTCCATTCAAACTTGTATTAAATTGTGTATAATTAATATAAAAAGTATAAACAATTTAATGAACTCGTTTAAACAGTTTATTGTGTTTGAAATTTACATACCTGAATGATCGACATCTTACCTAGTTTTATGTAATTCGTATTTAGGTATGATAAGCATAGATAAATTTATTTTTCAGCTGAGATAATGTTTTAAATGAAAAATATTTACCGTTGGTGAACCATTCCACCATGGTTTAGGAGTTGGATTGGCAACACCATCAGGGAAGAAGCCGTTAGTGCCTCCTACAGCCACGTTCATTATTAAGTAAAACTGCAATGATAATACGTAGGTACATTATTATTTGTTGATAAAGCATGTCTGGGCCAGGAGTCAAGATTCGTGCAGAACGCATTAAAAACGCATTCAGCGTTGTGATGTCTCAAAAAATGAAACCAAAGGAAAGGTGAATACGGCTGTTTTTAACCTACCATGAATTTTTCAATAAGTATTTATTTTTCTATTAAACGCATAAAAATATATTCTTAGTTTTCTGAAATATTTTTTCGCTATTTTATATTTTACCTTCTGGTCAAAAGGTGCCATTTTGCTACCGAAACGCCATGGGTTTTCCACGTTATGATGGTTGAATCCACCGAATTCCCAGAATCCACCGTTGGGAGGTGTAACTCTGCCTAATTCCACGTTGTCAATACTGAATCTTATAAAATCTGTAATATGACAAATGATATCGAGGTAGTAAGGTCGGTACTATCGCTTTAAAAATTAAAAAATATATAGTCATGGGTCAATGCTATGTTAAGGATAAAAAAGTAGATCTCAGAAAAGTTATAAAAAGGTTTTGAAATTTTTGTTCTAGTTTCTTACCAACCAAAACAGGCAAACAGGCAAACTCAAACATATCAAGATTAGTAGATCTACTTACCTGGGGTCCATTCGAGTTGATATTGATGGAATGCTCTGTCATAGCCAGCGGGGTTTCTTCTCAACCAGTGGGCTCGCTCCCATCCATTGAGGGCAGGATACGGTCCATAATGGAGAGTAGAGCCGGCCTCCTGTGTGCCGATGTGAAGGCCATTACTGAACATGTGACGGTTGCCACGTGATTCTACCAAATCAATCTCCCCAGATGCAGGCCAAGTTCCATAAGAATTATACGCTGGCATTAACCAAATTGCTGTAAAAGAAAATGTGTTTACAAGGTTTGATTAGTTTATCGGGAGATATTCTGGAATCTTTTATAAGAATTATAATCAAGATCATTCCCATTTTACTTATTTGTTTCAGTTAAATGCTTTGATTCTGCCACAAAGTTCTCAGTAAGATCTTTGGATTAAAATATTTCTCAATAATGATATGGACCAACGGTCTTGTATTCAAGAAAATTGTTTAATAAATTATAGGCTTTTCAAATTTCATGGATTGCCAATAATAATCTGTAATTTTCAAAATACCTGGCCAAAGCCAATCCCCTGCTGGCATTCTAGCTCTCACTTCAACTCTTCCATATCGAAAGCTGAAAGAGTTTACAGTGCGGAGGCGCGCGCTCTTGATTGGGTTGAGGACATTGTCTGGTGATCCTGTACGCTCGCAACCAAACCATTGCGGGTTAGTACATCTGGACATCAAGAAATTTTGGATATACATCGGACAATTTGAAGATCCTTTAGTTTAAGTAAAAAATTAATTACTAAAAATAGGCAAAATTGCTTTTGAAGTAATGTGCTGGATTTGGAGTAAGTATGATTTCTGTCCTTTTCAATATTGTTCAATGTTTGGGAATCGCTAATATTTTATGGCGTTTTAGGTCGTCTTATGACGGTATATTCCCATCTATTCTTAACGTCAGATCTATTTTATCTAAAGTTTAATTTATATTTTACCTGTCTGCTGGAGCGCCGCCCTCAATGTTCAAGTTGCCACTACTCAAGAAATTTTCTCCGAACTGATCAGATGTGAGAGAAGGCCTAATGTATAGAACACCGTTGTCTGCGAACGAGTTGGTACGGTTATTGTTGTAGTACTGGAATTCCCAATTCTGAAAATCGTATTTAGACACATTTTTGTAATTGACATGCAAATTTAGTTCGATGGCATAGTAATTATAGCATTCGGTACGCAATTGCTGAGCAAGTTAAGCAAGTTTCGCAAAGACTGGCTACGGATATTATGTAACTGGTTTAACTTCGCATTGGATGGGTGTTCAAAATGCATCCTTGTGGTCCGAAAAATACGTTAAGCCATCAACATCTCAATCAATTTCAACTATTTGATCTGCAGCCATTAACATTCCTGAATCCGCTTTAGACTTGCGTACTGGGTTATGTCTTATTCTCTCAATGTAATTCTATCCATATGGAAAACTTAGCAACGGTTATATGCACATGCTGATTACTTATTTTGTTTTAAAATGACAATTTACTATGGAAACTGAGTAGGTATCATATATTAGGTATTAGTTCTTACCTAATAATACTCTGGTCTTTGAAGCGTGATAAATTTTCCGATTAGACGTTTTATAAAAATTTGCTCCATCGAGTAAAATTATTATTCGTAGTAATATTTATTGTATATTGTTTCTGATTGCTTTCTTATCATTATAATTTGATTTAACTAAAAAACGACGCTAGTGTCACCACTCTTAACTTTATTACACATAAAATTAAGCACTTACTCCACCACCGGAAAGCGTGTTCTCATGTTGCCATTTCTCCAAGTCCAAGTCGTAGAAGTCGTCAGCAAAGATGAGTGCCCCCGAGCAGACTGTGACAGGCGCGTGGGTACCACTCACTGTTGTCACACTGGGAGTGCACGCGGCACTCAACGACGCTAGGGTCACCACTCCCAACAGTATTGACCACATTTTACTGGACATTAAATAGTATTAGAACAGACATAAAAATATAACAAATGCTATTACTAAGTGTTCTGTTCACGGGCGTGAAAACAATGTCGAAATCAGTTGAAGCGGCAGCGTTGTTACCACCAATATTAATACATGTTATTAAGAAAAAATAAAGTAAAAGTTTCTAAATCTACAGTTTCATCGTATAATCAATAATGTTTATAGCAAATAAAATAAAATGTTTTTTTTCCAGCATTTATATAATAAACCAGCACTTTAAAAGTTATATAATTTAAATAGTAATTTTATTATTTTTATGGTTGGCTTTATAAATAAAAGAGGAAGAACTAAATATATGAAACTTACCAGCTCGAATGAAGACAGGCGACTATAGTAGATTTTTAATATTCCATTACTTTAATATAAGCAAAAAATTATCACAAAATTATCTTTGATCTTAATTAAAGTCATTAAGATTTAATCAAAGTAAATTTAATAAACAAAAGTGTTTACAATAAGTATAATATACATAATTATTGAAACCTAAATGTAGGGAGAATATTTGCAAGCAAAAATTTTTGAATTCTGTGAGAAATACCTTTTCGACAATGTTAGCAAACAAAGGGCATCGATTGGACAATAGGGTGATAAAAAAAAGAGTTTATTTTTTTTCTCTTGCTGGTGCAGGATGGAATTCCTCATAATAAGTTGGCTTAGAAGATTAAACTTTAAAATTTTGTTATAAGAATTGATTTTAGTTTTTTCACGATAACCTATTAGTTTCTGATTTCCGTTTACTTATCATAAGCGGTCACTTATCTTAGTTATTTATTAAACAATCACATACATTGATTAGATACCAAGATAAATAGTTAAAGCCGTTGTATTTTGCTGTGTTATATTGTGTAATGTGTTCAGAACACATATGCTTCCTATAAGTATTGCTGTCATTAACGCCAGAACATCCCGTTCACGTATAGGTAATTTAAAATGCAAATAAAGATACATTAATCTCTTCCGAGTTAACTTTAATTTTTAATACAAAGGAGAAAATTTGAATATTGCATTTTCTGTGACCAGTCTATTCTATTCATACTTCACAGTCGATTGCTGCTATATCATATACCTATGTAACTAGGTACCTCACTGATGATTTTCTTGTCATTAAAATTCATCATTAAAAACAGTAGATGGCAACTGATGATAACATGATTTTGGTACGGTGCATGATAAGAAATGATAAAACAGATTTAGGTAAGTTTGGGGCTCATGAACTAAGAGTTTTTACAAAAACAAAAACATGCTAACTTTACATTATAAATTTTGGTACATTATGACAGCACCGCATATTATTTTAAGGAAAGTATAAGTTGTATTGATAGTTACAATGTCACTTATTTAGAGCTACCAGACTTTATGATAATAATGGTGGATAATATCGTTATACGCAGATTATTCATTGATCTGGCCAGGCTACACAATGATGTGGGTAGCAAGTTTTTTCAATTACATGAAATGAGTGTGAAGTCAATTGATCAATTCTACGATCTGGCTACGACAGATATAACAATATTATACACAGCCCGGCAGTATGAACCTACGTTTACGTAATACTTATCAACATAGTTTGTAGTGAGTGATATTGCAAATAAATATAAATTTTGTCTGAATTCTATACCCTTATCATAGATTATAATCTAACATGCAATAGGAAAAGTCGGGACTCATATGCCCTTTCATTCGACTAAGTATAAAAAAAAAACAAATTTATTTTATAACAAAACCAGATTCAGTTTACAACACTTGTAATGGACTATTCTTTTATAGATGTAGCAATATTTAATATCTGCACTAAACATAGTCCGCTCTTCTATAATAGATCAGTAAGTATTTCGTTTTGAGAAAAAAAATATATAATCTGTATATCTCTTATACGTCATTAAACTATCTGTCCATCAGTCTGTCACAATTAATTGGAAATATTTTTTAAACTTTTGACTAAGATGAAAATGTGTTTTAACCAACAATTTCGTCAATTGTTCGCTTGAATTCAAAATGATATATTGATGTTATTATATAAATTACAGAAAAATAATTTTGGGCTACCTGTGCCTTGTTAATTTTTAAAGTATTTTTTTTTTATTAGAATATGCTTTTACAATTTCTGATGCTGGGTGGATTTATAAATGAAGTTTTTAAAGATTCATAAATGTCAATTTTAATAACATATATGATATCGATTCGAAAACTTGTGGATGGTTTAATTTTACATCTCTCTTTTTTTTAATTGAGCATCTAATAAAAATATATTTACTTACGTGTTAATTTTCTTACCTTCTGAAGTCAAATCGATTATCTCTGTTTAACATGTACCAATTTTATAATAGCGTTAATTAAAAAAAATGCTTTAAATAATAATTACTACAAAATACATGTACGTTTAAGAAACGTAAAAACAACAAACGTGCTGGAAATTCACGTACCTAACTTGAACTAATTCGTTCAATATGTTTTTTATTATGGAGTAAGCATATTACTCAGAAATTAAAGTCTAATATACATTCAAGGGTAATATATTTATCCTCGTTCCGTTGATGTGTAATTGGTATTTTTTGTATAGTCAACGGGTTATCCAGAATATATTTTCTGTTTTATGAGTATGTCCTTGTAAAGGTTTAAAAATAATTTGATATTTCATGATTAAAGTAACCATTTCTCATCAGACAGTCAGGTGGTTACGGCCTTGCACGCGTAGTACAACAAACAACCCAAATGTGTCTTTTCTCAGATGCGCCCATACAATATCTCTCTTTCGATCTAAGCAAAGTGACATTTGGAGTCAGTGTTTTACGAGTAGGTATGTCATGCTATGCTACGCGTGCTGGGTACTTCAACTTTTGTTCCATTAACTTTAATTGTTCAAATGGCTTCTTAAATAATTTCTTATTACTCATTAACTTTCTTTTAATGAATACTTAATTCTTTTTATAGCATTATTGAACAAAATGAAATTTGTTTGTTTCCACCTGATGAACTCTAAAATATGGAAAGAGTTTTTACAACTATCAAAAGTTGCTTTGGTATTTTGTAAAAATACAAACGGCTGATGATTTAAATGCAGTTTTCACTATTATATTGCGGTATTCTTCCGTTAACATTTAGTGTAAGATTTATTTCAATCGGTTCACAAATAAAAAAGTTATGTTAATTTGAAGTGACGTGGTCGCCAAAATTGCTATGAAATATTAACTGTTTTATTAAATTTTCTTCTTTGATATATTGATCATTATCATTAACTCTTTTACAACCAAACTGCAGGGCCTCAGGCCTTTGTTTAATAATTTTTGGTCACCCATCCCGTGAACAACTCTTGCGAAAATTTCTTAGCCATAGCGATCGTGCGCAGCGGCGCTTATCCGTAGCGCCAGCGAGCAACGAATTAATATTGTCTATAAAATGATAATTTGTATGATGGATGACAAATAAAAAAAAATATTCCAAAATTTTGACTACTCCAAAGTAAGTTGACCTCATTTATATATGGCCAATGATATTAAAAAGGGTTCAGCTTATAATGGACGTGTGGTATACGATCACGCGACTAGGAGAACAAGCGAAAAGGCATCGAGTAGTTTACAGTGAACGCAAATTTTTATCAGATTAGGTTCATGTCGTCGTCGGGGCCAGCGGAGGTGGTTGGCAGCCGCCTCCGAATTGCACGGTTTCGTGTGTTTGGGAGAGGCACTCGATTAACCCGAGCCTCTTCAATTTTCCATCTGCAAGGGGACCAATGGTCCAATACTTGAGTGTCCTGGTGACTCGGTCCTGGATAGCTTGCCGGGTTTCATCTCCTATGAGAGGGTGTAGCGTACGGGTTTTGGTGGATAAGCCTCTGGAAACCTACTGGGCAGCTCACTGTCGGGTTCACTGAGGAGAATCCTACTCACCCCTGTTGCTTGTCACGTAGCAGTGACAATGTCAGAAGCTTTTCTACGATGTTAAAAAAGTTTTCACGTCATTCACGTCAACTGAAGTTAAGAACGTAAAGACAAGTCGAGTCATATATATTTTTTACTCTTATCACTATTTTTTATGTTAATATTCTTTTTTTTACATACAACTTGCTGTAGATACGTACTTCAAAGTTGGTATTTTCAGTCTTCGCCGGAAACAATAGTTTATTCATTGGTCACAACACTCATATAATATAACGCGAGTCTGAGGGACGCGATTATAGTTGTTAAGCAACTTTCGCAAAGGTCGGTCACAGGATGGGTGACCAAAAAATATTATTTCAAGCAGCTCCAAGCTTCAGAAAGCACGTAAAGCGATTGGTCCCGGTTGTATTTGCAGTCGTTAATAACATCCAATCCCCATTGGGCCAGCATAGAGGGTCGTGGCCCATCCTCCTTAACCATCCATAAGGATGGCCTGAGCTCCTGCATTTGGTGACGTAAAAGGACTGATGATGATGATTTTCTTTTTTTTTATGGGATAGGGGGCAGACGAGCAGACGGATCACCTGATGGTAAGTGATTACCGTCGCCCATGGACACCTGCAACACCAGAGGTGCTACAAGCGCGCTGCCGGCCTTGGAGGGAAGGGTTGAGGGGTAGAGGGAAGGGAATAGGGAGGGGTTGGGCCTCCGGTACCCTCACTCACACGACGAAACACAACGCAAGCGTTGCTTCACGTCGGTTTTCTGTGAGGCCGTGGTATCACTCCGGTCGAGCCGGCCCATTCATGCCGAAGCGTGGCTTTCCCACGAATAATGATGATTAGGACCGTTCAAATCTGACGAAAGCTCAATTAAGCACCTCTCGGAAGTATGTGTTAGTAGACGATTTCTTTCGAGTGTTGAAAGTCGAAATTTTTTTAATATCAATAAATAAAACTCCACGTGTCTTCCGTCAGACATATACCGACCGACTTTTGTTGACAAAGAAAGAGATCGGACGGGAAGCGCTCGGTCTCGGGAGACACCTGAAAAACGCGAAGCGTATTTAACTGCCCATTACGAGGCTCATAGACTATAAAGTTGAACCTGAAGCATTTACATGTTTAACATATGGACGTTCACCTTAAACCTTTCCTGGTCTACGACAGAAATTTCAAAACCTAAATCAGCTAAATCCACCCAACCGTTCTCGAGTTTTAGCGAGACAAAAAACGGAAATTGATTACACTCAATGTTTTATTATCAAGTTTCCTTTAAATGTACGCAGTTCAGTTTGCTAGTCTGATTCACATATACGGTCAGTTGCACAAATGTCCATTAAGGTTTAATGACGCCTTTAAGCTCTAATGAATGTCAAATTTGTATGGGTAGGTAATGTCGCTAGATACTGAAATATTTAATGGACGTTTGTGCAACAAGCTCTTAGTGTGTTATTTTTATTTTGAATATGAAACTAGATTTCAGATTAACTTCTTATGATGGCCCGGCGGCCATCACATATAGTATGACATGGAATGCAACATTTACTATACATTTTTCCTACTTTCTATTTAATAAATATTATTATTATTTAAATGTGTTTGCGTATCCACCCACTAGGCGCACTATGCGCTTCCCACCTATGATTATCGGTTAGACGAAAACCGAGTTGGCATAGTATGATCTGGGCAGTACGCTAATGAACCAGCATGTAAAATTGGCAGTGTTGTTTCCTATTTTATTATTTTACAATATTAGTTTTAAGTCATTGAAAACAGCGCAGGTCAGTTATTGCCAGAAGAATTACCCGCTTTTGAAGTGGCCGCATAGCATGCACAGAGACTGCCCACTTATTAGATAAAATTATGCAGTGCTCATGTTGCATTACATGTTACATTGCAAATAATTTGTACCTAGCTTTATACCGAGGCACGTATTTTTGCTTTGTTAATCTCGACTCTTGACCCTGACCGTTATTGTACTACATTACATGCAAATTGGGAATAGGTAGGGATGTAATATTCTTTTTGATACATACAAAAGTCGAATTTTGTAGTGTAGCTCACACTTATTCTCACTACATTTAAAAACTTTTTTAAACTGAATCTACTTTTTAATATAAGATGACAACGTCTAATCTTATCAATACGTACCTAAAGATTACGTAATATTTACATTATTAGGTGTCAAATTTTTTGTCAAAATGGTGCTATATGCATAATTTCTGCTACAGTAGCAAAAATGGGAAATCTTTCAAGTATATTTGGATAGTAACAACAAAATTGATAAGTAATCTTCGTGCAAAACTTTGAAATGGGAAATGGTAATCAGAAAACTTATGGATCGTTTTAATTAGAAATTATCAATAGTTATCAGCTTTTCGTAATTATCACGATTTCAACCAAAAGATATCATACCTACTATGAATATACCAGTAGTTTTCAATGTAATTTAGAGATAAAAGTTCATTACATTATTTTCAGTGAGAAAGCCGCGTCACTATAGAATCTAATGTATTGAAAAAATATTAATAACACTCTGCTGAATATTAAATAACCTCATAATTTTGTACACCACTCCACAGATGGCGGGTGCGATTAAACTATTAGGAGGGCGTGGTTTCTCAGCTGCATCATATATGTTAAACGGAAGAAGAAGCGGCATTAGTTACTTTAACTACTTATTTTTACCACACTTACCACGGAACTCCCTAATTCGTATTTTTTCTGCTTTTCATAGTCCCACAGGGACAATAGAATTTCGACAGTTGAATCCTAGAAGAGTAGATGTTCCAAGACTGTTACAGCCCAATGAAAACAATTTTGATATCACAAATGGCTTTCCAAAAAGATTCTTCTTAAAACGTAAAGATAAAATACCGAAGAATCAAAAGAGAAAAGTGCCTAAATTGATATTAATACAGAATCCATTTACGTGGTTAATGATTAAAATTGACTTTAGCGTATTGAGAAATGTGTGGGATCCTACTTTTGAAGAAAACGAATTTAAATTTGGAAGTAAGCAGGTAACTACTTATAAGCGGGGAATTCACTAGACAGGCTTGCCCGCGGGCAAGCCTGCGGACATGTCTGCCAGACCTCGTTACTATAGGTCTGTGTCATGTCTGCCTAGTGTAGGTCCGTCACAGGCAGTCTGCCAGACTGCCCGTCGCCCGTCCGTGAGATCTCATTTTGTCTGCGCGGGCAGAGACAAGTCTGTCGGTGAATGCTCACAGCGGGCCGACTACTCAGACCCGAGCCAGACAGCAAGCATAACGGACGTCGACGACGTGAAACAAAATGAGTTTTAATGAAAATAAAAAAATTGGGAAGATTTTATAAATATCCATGCGCATGTAATTGTATAAGTCACCTGGTTCATCAGTTTCTAATTCTCTAAGTAAATTTATATGGCTAAACTTCTTTCTGTTTTTTTACCATTCTTTACAACAAACTCTTTTCTTTTTCTTTTCGTCAAATAGTCCAGCAGCAACTAATGCTATTTATACAGCAGCATCTAATGCTATTTTTCTCCGTTTCGTAGCCATTGTAATATGCACAACACAAAGCCCAACCAGTCGCTTAGTGCGTCGAAAACTAACTGACGAGTCTGTGTAGTGTGTTGTGAACGACAGACATGCCCGGCAGACATGCCCGGCAGACTTGCCCACGGGCAAGACTGCAGACATGCCTGCCAGAACTCTTTACTATAAGTCTGTGTTATCACTGCGACGGTTATAAACTATATAATCAGGGAATTCACTAGACAGTCATGCCCGCGGGCAAGTCTGCAGGCACGCCCACCGAGCCGCGCTACTATAGGTCTGTATAATAACTGCGAAGGTCCTACACTAGCCAAACATGTTTGCTCTATAGCAGCGACGTCCGACAGGCATGCCTACACACTTTCCCGCAGGAATACCCGGCTAGTGAATTTCCTGTTATAGACAGATATGCCCGCCTTATCCTAAACGAGGTCTGGCAGGCATGTCTGCAAACTTAACCGCGGGCATGCCCGTCTAGTGAATTCCCCGCTTTAGCGAAAAACTGTACTTTAATGTTGATTAAAATTGATAACTGTTTCAGTGAGTTATGGTAACAATTTCAACATCAATTAATGATGTTTATTTTTCTACAATTTAGGCTATATCGCGTGTTACTCAAGTAATAAGCGACGGTCAGTACGCAGATTTAAATGGTCTATTGACTAAACCGGCGCGTATCAGCTTGATGAGGGATCTTGATAGAAACTGGAGTGAACGACAACGCTCGTTGCTCGCTCTAAGTCGTGATGACATCCAGATATCTTCGCCTAGAAAAGTCTACTTTATTAGGATCGCTGGTAAATAGTACGATTTTTTAAATATCTTTTCTTCATATATGTGGATTATCGCTACCTCCACGATGATTGTCAGATTAATTTCTTTCTTTTTGCATACTAAACAGTAGATATGTTATTTCCGATCCAGTTAGATATTAGATTGTTTAAAACAGCTGTAACTATATTATTATTAATACATCTACTAAGGGGCCGTCCATAAATAACGCCACACTAAATTCAGGATTTTAAACCCCTCCCCCAATCCGCATTGGGCCAGCGTGGAGGGTCATGGCCCATCCTCCTTAACCATCCATAAGGAAGGCCTGGGGCTCTATTTTTGAATCATTCGTCTCGCGTCGAGCGCTCGTTTTCTACTGATTTTCGTTCGACTTAACAAATTCGCCATTTCTAAATCGCTCGACTGCAACGAGTGGTATGAACCACTCGTCGCTTAGCGAACGTTGTATGCGAGTGATAGAAGAAAACGAGCGCTCGACGCGAGACGAATGATTCAAAAATAGAGCCCCTGAGCCCCTGCAGTGGGGACGTAAAAGGGCTGATGATGATGATGAAACCCCTCCCCTCCTGTCACCTATTTTTCTATACAAATTCTACTAATATTGTTCTAATGTCACAGTTCGTCGTCCCCCCCTCCCTCCTAAAGGGTGACGTAATTTATGGATAACCCCTAGCAATGAAACTAATAAACTTGTATGTTATGTTTCTGAACATATCTATTGTTTCAGTTTTGTTATATAGTGAATGAACTGGTGTCTTTATAATAATCTATTTATGGTTCAACATTAGTTTTTGTCGTATATCACCTATTTATCTATCGCAGTTATGTGTATTTCAGTCATGTGAATTTCTTCAATTTATATAATTAGGTAAAGTCGCTTCACATACCTAATTCTCACCGAACCCACCCAATATGTTCTTATCTGATGATACCAGGCCACTATCTTGGAATTTACATATAATATTTACATTTTAATTTTCTAATTTATAGATAAAAAGTATTGTGATATTGATATGGCGTTCCTAGCGCTCAAATGGGCTCCAATCAACAGCATAGAAGCTTTAATCTTCACGGAAATATTTGCAAGATTTCATAGAGAATACACACCACATTGTATACCCGAATGGACTATTGCCTTCTTTAAAGTAACTCGATTTGAAATATTAAGAAGATAGCATTTAATCATTTATTCTATTTTTTTTTTACAAGACTAATGCTTTCAAATGTAACCAATTTTATAATCATGGACGTTTCTAACACTAGAAATAAAAATTATGACATACAATAAAAGAGTTTGATTTATTTTTTGTTTGAGATAGATTAACTAAAGGTCTAGGAGGAGTGTGTAAGGATTCTCTAGGTATCTCTTGAGTGAGTTGGAGAAACGAGCCATGGTAACGCCGTCTATAACACGGTGATCCGCCGACCAGCTCGCTGTGAGAATGTTAGCCTTCACAACATTTCCTGATGAATCGAATCGCGGCAGTGCCTATAAACAATAAAATATTTATATTGAGTAAAATGCTGAAAAAATCACCAGTCTTTAGTGTCAGAGATGGGAATGAAATGTTTTTAAATGATTTCTTTTGTGAAATAACCAGAAAGTGAAATTGAAATTATGAAGTTTATCTCTTCAAATTGATTATTCAATGTATTTATCCTTTTTTGTACATCTGCAATTTGTTAAATATTTTATCCATTATTATTAGGAACACTTTTGTTATGGCTTCGAATTTAGTCCACGGCTTGTCTCATATTTTTGAGTTCAAAGTTAATGAGCTTGTTTTGCAAGTCAAGATCAAACTAAACAGAATTACTAATGAAATGACTGATCGTATGAATGAAGCCAATTCTTTCCGGTCGCGTGCCGGTCTACCAAAATCCTCGATACGATGCTGTCTACACTCTCACTAAGTTCAATTGCTCTTTATCTTAATACACTAAATCGTTTAATGATTTAGTGCAGTAAATCTTAAGATTGGAAAGTTTTATTAAATGGTGCCCAATTAGTTTTGGGAACCATTGCTCAAAGGCTTGTACTTCTACCACGTTTAGTTAACCACTTTTAAGAGACAAAAGCATAAATGCTTTTATTGTTACTTTTATACCATAACTTTTAAATTCAATTAAAATCTACTCGCTTATGTAATTATATTAAGAATAATAACATTCGTCTATGATTTAAATTCAACAAAATTCTAAATTTAACTTGAGATTTCACTTCTGTATTACAAAAAGCAGAGTTTATAAAATATCTAAACATGAATTAATCTGAGCGAAACACTGGACTCTGGCGAAATCCATAAGGGCATCGCCATTAATTAAAAAGAAGAAGAAGAAAATCTACTCGCCTGAATCCTTCCTAAAGCACCTATCGCTACTTGCGGTGGGAATATAACCGGTTTTGTATAGGTGCCTCCAACCTGAAAACGCATTAAATTAATATTAATTATATTTACATATCAATTACTTATTGAGCAAAAATAAGGTTTGTATTTATGTATTTTTTTTGATGTCTTGAGCTGTGCGCAAATTAGATTTTAAATAATTTAGTTTAATGTAATCATGTATTGTCATATAAACTTATGGAAAATTTCAGCTTAATAGGCTATTTAACTCTTTTTATTTAGTAAGTATTCAACAATTAATAATGCCTGCTTTCAAATTCAGAAAGTTAAATAAAAAGCTTGTGAAAATAAATGTTATCGTTATTTTATAAAAAAAAAACCTTTACTTTTTTACATTCGTGTTTAGAAGGAATGAATATAAAATATCGAAGCACTTACTATTCCTATATTTGAAATTGTAAATGTTCCACCGCTGAGGTCATTGAGACCGAGTTGACCTTTGACGCCCTTTTCTTGGAGTGTATTCAGCTCGCGTGCTATTTCCAATATGCTCTTGTTTTGTACATTCTGAAATATTTATACTAAAAATTATTTGAACTATATCAATTGTTGTTGTATAGTCGTGCAAGTAAAATTATAGCTTAGGTAATTTAAGAATCGGCCCAGTCAAGAGGTCCAGTAGTAGTGAGTAAATTTTCCCCTAATAGGAATATTTTAAAAAGAAATTTCAATATTCCATATATTTTACAAATCCCTATATACAAATATATATGTCGCAGTCAACTGGGTAAATTAGCTGTTAAATTGAACGGCTAGTCATTCAATTGAATGGTGCTATTCAATTACAAGCCTAGTTTTCTAGTTGAATCATTATGACATTTGGACCGTTCAACAAGACGGCTAATTTAAAAGCAGGCAAACGTTCCTTTACTTATGTTATCTGTTAAAAAACTAACCTAGAATTTTAAGACGATCGCGAAGCATAGCGTAGCGTCTTAAATTTCTAACCTATCTCATGGCCTATACAGGACCAAAATAATTTCGTTGTTTATCATTTTTTGTTGTTATTAACTGAAGCACCAAACTTCGAAATCATAATATTAAAACACTCGCAGTCAAATATATTCCTTACTCTCATTTTCGATAGATGGCGTTGTGGCCGTGTGAAGATATTCTCATTAAATTCAATAAAGATTGTTAATTAGCTGGCTGACATTTGTTCAGCCGTATTGTAGAATGTAGCGATTAGCTACTCGGCTAATAAGAAGTTTGACCGTTAATTGAATGGCGCCAATCAATGAAAGGGCTATCCACCTAATTTGACTGCTGATTTAACCACTTGGCTGCGACGTATATATTATCAAAGATTCTTTATATTCCTTTCAAATCTAGTTATTTTCTTATGTAAGATCATCTTAACTCAATTAGATTTACCTTGATAACTGGCACAACCAAACCGTTGGGCGTGTCCATAGCGACACCAATATTGTGACTTGATTTGTAGGTTATATTTTCACAACTACTGTCCAAGCTGCTGTTGAGTATAGGAAAAGAGGTGAGACTAAGAGATGCGGCCTTAATAATAATTGGCATGTAGGTGAGTCTAACGCCATGCTCCTCCGCCAGGTTCTTTAAGATTTGCCGTGACTCTATAAGCTTCGTCACGTCATATTCGTCACTAAAGCCGAAATGTGGAATTTTCTGAAAATAAACAGTATATATAATAAGAAAAATTGCTAGAGTTTTAATTAAAAAAATAAAGTGGTCGCCCTGTATAAAATTGTACTGTGTATGAAATAAGAGATATATGTCAATAAAAAATGGAAATTCTGCAAACAACTAATTAAAACTAGCCGAAGTTACAGCTATATTACTTTATTTAAGCTAAAAATCATGTGCTCTAATTATTATACTTTGTAAAAAATATTTCTCTCGGCTGTTCGGGTGGATTCACAATATTAAAAAAAGACGCCCACTGGGAGCGAAAAATAACAAGCGCTTGAAAATTCGTCAGTCCTGTTAGGTCCTGGGTAGCTCAATGGTTAGAGCAGTTGCCCGGATTGCGAAAGGTCGAGGGTTGGAGTCCCATCTCAGAGTACTTGGGGTTGGTAGATTTTTAAATCATTTTTCATTAAGAATATAAATAAATGTATTAACAAAACGAAACTTAGAACTAGTGACTACTATAAATACTAGAAATTCTTGCTACTTGGGTAAGAAATATGTGCTTGTGTTAGGTATTACTTCCTCTATGGATATACACGCCTCTTATCGCATAATGGGAAAACTATTGACATTTTACACTTACCATTGCTTCTGTCATAGATTTCACCATTGCTTTAGTGAATCCTGTAACTGGTACTGTCCTATCATCGAGTATTATTTCAGTTTTAGCGTGTGCAGCAGTTAATGGAATAGAGACTGCCCGTAATGACGTTGACGTTTCCTCTGGAACTTCATTAGATTTATCTGAGGATATGTTGAGATGTGAGAGCACGTCTTCTTTCATTATCCTTCCGTTTTTTCCAGTGGCCTTTATCAGACTTAGGTCTACCTTAAAAATAATTTGCTTGAATAATTTAAATCGTTATTACATTTTAAAGGATTCTGTAGTCAGCATTAGCAGAAAATTTTATTACGAGTTGAGGAATATTAAACATGATATTCTTACTTGAAACTGTGACGCGATTCTTCTTACTGCAGGTGTGGTTAATACTTTCACTCTTTGTTTTGTTTCGGTCTCTTTTGCTGATGGGCTTGACTCCTCTGGTTTTAGACTTTGTGATGTATCTGTAACATAAATTAGGTGATTTAATGTAGTGTGTTACTGAATATTTTTATTGTTTAAATTCCTTTCTACCTATGATTACTCGTAAGTTATTTATTACCTATTACACATGTTTTCTTATACAGGTTTCAGATTATGAAGCACAAAAAATTCAAAATAACAAGTTATACACTGAAATATCTACGAACTTTGTCGTTCTACAACTGATTCCTCATAAGATTACTTTGTCTGTCTGTCTGTTTATCCGTTCGTCTGTCGCAGCTGATTTTCTCCGAAGCTAATAGATCGACTACGTTAAAGATACACATATGTAAGTAAACCTGTAACCCAATGACGGTCTTGCAATGTAAATCATTGGCTTTTAAGCATGGCAACCTTAGGGAGGTTAAAAAAAAAGATTCGCCAATTGTTTTTCTGATTATATATTTTTTTTGTCGTTTCATAACTAAAAGGTTTTTAAAGTTATTAAAGAAAATATACGAAAATTATCCTTTCCCATAATCCAAAACTGCAGCATTTCAAATGTTGAAAATATACAATAAAGCAGTTATTTACCTATGCATATACATAGGCATGGGTAACTAGATAAATAATAGGTAAATAGATTAAAGGATGACAAGTCTAAGATTAAAAAAATATATTTGCGCGTAATTCTCTACGAGCCCGCTAACTCGCTTTTGGCTGGGATTTTACACAACGTTTAACTAATGAATCGATGAATTTTAATACATTTTCATGTTTTTATTTTATTTCAATTCACAATTTAGTAATAAAAATGTTATAAAAATAAAAGTATCATATTGGATCCCGTCGAGCATAGCGAAATAGGAGAACACTGTGCTTAAAGGTAAAAAATATTTCCTTTCTTAAATAAACTTAAATAGGTTATATTTTGAAAACTTTAAATAATGAACACTTGAACTTATCAAAATACGATCTTACCTTCATCATCAGAGCCTTCGATTTCAATATCTACAAGTGGTTGTCCTACCAGCGCCGTTTGATCTACAGCATGATAAAGTTTGGTAATGACACCATCATATCGACTACTGATGGTGACTGCAGCTTTGTCACTTTGCACTTCACAGATATTGTCAAACTGTTGCACTTTGTCACCTACTTTTACGAACCTGAAACGATACATTAAGATTTTATGAATATAAACACATTTTAGTTATTCACGGGATTGCTACCAATTTTAACCAATTGAGTCCCAGAAATAACCATTAATCTAATGTCATTTAAAAAGCTATCTTGTTATAAGGATGTTAAGAACTATAGTTTATATATATAATTTTCCAAGGTAAATAAATGTATGTAAATAAATAAATAAATGTTGCGCGTTAGTGCACAGGCAATTTTGGTCATTTCTGCTTTTCTAAAGTGTTTGTAAAGATTAAGGTTTTCAACTTCTAAAAATTTAACAGAATTCATTTATGAGAAGAAAATTACCTGGATTCGTATTCTTTTATACCTATACAGTTTCATTATTAGTGGTTCAATCGAATTAATAATACTTCAAAAGTTTAGAACTACATTTATAACTCGCTGAACGTTTTACGGAATTGGAAAACTGGTAAGTAAATATCAAATTAAAATGAAAAGGATTAGTGATTCCTACCATTCTTTGATGACCACTTCTCTGATGCCTTCACCGATGTCAGACAGATTGAAAGCGACTGTCTTGTGAGTCGATATACTCGTGTGAAACTGCCGCCTTTCATATTTCATAATATTTAATTGAAGATTCTTTATGCTACATACTTTTGAATAATTTTTATCCTGAAAAGTTTCATCATCTTAAATTTATGTCTCAAACGTTACTAAAGTTTAATGACTGCATTTATCGTTTTACTGTAACGATATATCTCTCATAAACTAAACTAATTAAATAATTGTGCGTCAAATAGTATCGTTTTATTTTTTGTACTCATTTCTCGTTTATGTAATTGGTTATAATAAAATTATCTCTAAATTGAAGAGTTTAGTCATTAGCCCTTCAAGTAAACAGCTGTTTTAATACTTTGGAGATATATATTAATATCTTTGTTTATTACATAAACTTAAATTTTCTTTAACATTTACTTTAACAACTATTATTAGTCATTAGCCAAAATAGAATATGCTCCATAACCGAGAGCTTACTCTTTTCTCCACGAACGATTTTGGAAAATCTTTTTTATAATTCGAAACGTTTTTATAATTTTGTCAAAATCATACCCGTCAAGATTATTTGTGCATCAGAGGCAGTGTCAGGTTTTACTTTCGTTGCATTATAAATAATCAAAAATCGTTTCATTGAAGTCATATTAACGTATCGAAAATAGACGAAATTTCGTTTTCAGAGAAAGCATGACATATGCAATTCAAAACTCATATTTTTGTAAATAAATTAAAAATTAAATGATGTAATTTTTAAATCTTTAACTCCAACAACGTGACATAGATAAAAACTAAGTGCAAACAAAATGTACGAAAACAACACTAATGACATAATTATCTCGTAAAATATCCACGCTACTATTACGAAGTCTGATAAGAATTGTTTGTCAGAATCTAATCTTATTACTAAAGCAACAAGAAAAAAAATTAGGTTTGATTTTCCTTATATTTACCTATCTATTTTATACAGTTGTGAAGGTATTCACACCTTTTTAAATAAATTCGGGAAAAAAAACATTGTTTTAGTTTTCTGATTACATTGTGTGACAAAAAATATTTTATTATTATGATTATTATTTTTACCATACGAGTAGATTTATCGACATTAAAAACCCAATCGTAAACTACCTTATTGTATTGCTACAAATATTTTTATTAACAGTGACGCTATTGACAATATTAATACTAAAACTATAATAGAAAAACTTACAATTTGACTATAAATTTGAATTCTACGACACCTATTCAAATTCCTTAAGTTCACAATACACTTTCTCACTACAAATGCCATTTTAATAAAAAATAATAATAAATATATCGGTTTTATTTAAAGAGTAATTCCTACACTATTTTAGTTGGCGCGGCACATGGCGGCGGACGAGGGCCGACTCGCGCGCAACTGACTTATCGGTATTATCACTGAGTCAAGCATTGATTAACATTTTCAACTTAATTATACATAAGACTTGAATATTACATGACCTAAACGTCACTCGAGGTCAACTACGTAACAATGTGTTATCTTTACGAGGAGGTATTGTCGATTCTTAATCAACTCATTTTATTTGGAACCGATTAAATTATTTAATTTTAATTTTCTTACATGAGAACGAATGAGAACATTTATCGCGAGCAGAAAAAATTATTTCAATCGTTTTGTGAATTTCAATAACTATCTGAATTTTAAGACCCTTCTTTATAGTTTCTTTTTTCAGCTATAGTCTAGCTGTTTTCCGCAACTTCGCCTGCGTAAATTATAGCCTATCGTGACACCCGTGTGTGACGTAACTTCCCGCAGATTAAAGAATTTCTTAAGATGGCCAACCTAAAAAAAGTAAAGTTAGTTTACCTTCTTTATTAGCATAGACAACAATATTTGTAATTTATAACTTTTTGGATAGAAACCTGTTCAAGATAAAGCAAAGGAAATAAATATTTGCGGGTAACACAAAACATCGAAAATACTATATTCTTGAACCCAGTGGACACAACAGAGATGAAAAAAATTATAATGAAACTAAAAAACAAAAAATCTTACGGTATTGATGAAATTCCCCCGGTTTTGATTAAAAGTTGTGTCGATTTACTAACGGTCCCATATACTAAATTAGTAAATCAATCCATTTCAGAAGGTATATTTCCTGACGCGTTAAAAGTATCCATAATCAAACCTATCCACAAAAAGGGAGATCAAACCGACGTTAATAATTACCGACCCATCGCTTTGTTACCAACATCAGCAAAAATATTTGAAACAGTTATCGCGAGGCGTATGTATTCCTTTTTTGAAAAATACAAAATCTTGCATGAAAATCAAAACGGCTTTCGAAAAAACCATTCCACTACCTTAGCAATTTATAAATATATAAAAAATATTTTAAACGAAATTAATAATAAAAAGTACGCGGTAGGCCTTTTACTCGATATGAGTAAGGCCTACGATAGGGTGTCATATAAAACCCTTTTGAATAAATTATACCAAACAGGAATCAGAGGAGAAGCCCATGATTGGTTTAGATCATACCTCCATAACCGTTATCAATATGTAGAAATTCAACATACAAATTTTGTAACGGGTATGATTACCTATACCAAATCAGATGCAATCCATATTGAAGGCTCTATTCCCCAGGGCAGCGTTTTAGGATGTATCTTATTCCTTATTTATATAAATGATCTTCCAAACATATTAGACGACCTATGTATGCTTTTTGCCGATGATGTATCTGTCTTGTTTTCATGCTCCAACGGAACAGACTTAAAAACTAAACTTAATTCTACATTGGACAAAATTGTAAACTGGCTAGACTTTCATCATTTGCAACTTAATCTTAGTAAAACCAAAATTATTCAGTTTAAGCCATATCAAAAATCAAAATTACAAATTTCATATAGTTATAAGAGTACAAAATTAGAGACCGTTGACTCTGCTACTTTGTTAGGAGTGGATTTGGATACGTGTTTGAATTGGAAAACACATATTAAAAAGACAGTAAATAAAATGTCGTCTTTTATATATGCACTACATCATCTTAAACGTGTAACGGATTTTAAAACTGCCCTTACAGCTTACTACGCATATGCATATTCAATTCTATCCTACGGAATTGTTCTGTGGGGAAACTCATGTCATGTAGATCAAATATTTATACTACAGAAGAAGTGTATCAGAATAATGTCTAACATTGATCAAATGGAATCATGTCGTCCTCATTTTATTAAACACAAAATACTGACTCTTGTATCAATATATATTCTTGAAACATGTAAGTTCGTAAGGAAACACCCAGAATTTTATACACCTATAACAAGTGTTAGGAGAGGCAATAGATATTTAAACAAACTAGAAATGCACTTCTCAAAATTAGAAATAGTCTCGTCAGGCCCGCATGCTATGTCAATAAAAATCTATAATCATATACCAAATTATATTAAAAATCTGGAAACAGAAATGTCATTTAATAATCAATTAAAATTATTCTTACTAAATAAAGCATATTACAATATAGATGAATTTTTTAATGAAAAATTGACATAAATATTATACTATTATTAATAAATTAAAAATTGTTATTGATGAACATTGTGATATTTGAAATGCCTAATTTATATTTAATTTAATTATTGTTAATATATATTGTTATAAGTTTCTTGACATGTAATTTCTAATATTATTTAATTTTGGGTATTTGTATTTTATTTTATTTTATTGTATTGTATTGTAACATTGCCATGCCCTTACAGGGCGTCACATGTACACGAGCAACAAAATAATTACTATGTTATAATTTTAATGTGACATGCAATAAATGATTTGATTTGATTTGATTTGAAATGTGAATCATTGTATTTACTACCTATTTAATTGACATTTAACCAAATTTTAACATTCTTAGGTATAGAATTCTATATCCATATTATAGCCCAATAGTGGAAGTGACAATATTATCTACTAATCACTTTAAGCTTGATATATATGCGTTCTAGATAATGTTGACTACACGTCAGGTTATACTTAGAAAATTGACAAATTTCTTTACTTGATTTTAAACTTTAATGCATGGAAGCTAAAGTTCCAAATTAACCTAATGTGATATTGTTACAATTTTTCATTAATAGTTGCAAAAAAAGCTCTCTAATAACAGACAAATACGGAACTGTTCAGATAAAAATACATATGAATTTGACTAGAAAACGAGAGGACATCGTAATGGGTAAATATAGATAAATAATGTGTGAAAATATTTTTCTTATATTGCAATAAAGGTGTAATATATATATTTAAGGAAACATTATAGATTTTTTGCTATACTTAAGGTAAAATAACATTCGTAAAATCCAATATAAATAATTTTATTGAAACAAACGGAATTCTGAGACTAGGCACAATAAACATCTTATTATTTTTCTACCTTACAGATTTGATATTTAATTTTGCCTGCTAGTTATTTTAGTTTTAATTCGTGATTTTATAGGCAAACCATTTAACTCGCGAGACGCCTGCGGGGCTAGAGGTGTAACGGTGTGCCATGCCACCGTTTGTTTTCCTAGGCTTCAGTATACAAACTTTTTGTTTTTGAAATTCAACATCATTTCATTTTATTATTCGTCTTTCGTGATTTAAAATCTTGACTAATCAATTATACTCTTTATGGATGTCAGTTCGTAAGAAATTCTTCTATGCATAACATGAAAATTATTATACAGTATTAATGGTATAAATTTTATTATATAATTTTAAAATAATTCATTGATTGTGATAAAGAATGTGATATTGTGATACAAATTATATAACATATGAACTAAATTGTAATCTGTATTTTGGACGATCCAAGAGTTTAACTAGAAGCCCGACAAGGGGTATGTATTCGTTTATTTGATAAGTATGTATTAGTTAAGTAACTTACGAACTGTTTTTTTAAATTTATTTTTGTGTGTTACAGTTTCTTATTTACCTTTACAATTAATAAATCTATACTCAAGCTAATCAGCCTTATTAATTGACCTAAGCACCGAACCCGTCACAGAGGTAGGTGGGCGCGGAGGAACTCGCAGACGTTTCGGAGGAGTAGCGCGCGCGCGCGGCTGGGAGCACAAGTGACGTTTCTCAGTACGCTATCGGCTCTCGCGGCGTGCAGTCGGCATCTGGTTACGGACGCTCGGCACAAGATCTATACGAGGTTATTTTTCCTGAGATATTTTCCAAGATGAACGCTGAAGGACGGTCCAAAATTTTTGCTAAAAAAATTAACAAGCAAGCTAAACAATTAGTATACAATGTTTATTCTTTCTTTCAACAAAGAAAACAAGATCAAACTTCCACGGAATTTTTACAAGATGTAAACCTGCACAAAATCGTCGCCCAAGCAACGCAAATATCACTGTCTACTGTGAGTAAAATCATCAAAGAAGGAAATGATCTGAAACGCGACCAGAGAAGTGTAGTATTTAAATCCCCAAGAAGTAAAAAACAAAACCGAACTAAAATAATTGAAATAGATAATTTTACTGAAGGTGTCATCAGACGAAAAATAACTCAATTTTTTACTATATACAAAAAGGTACCCACATTGAAAACACTAAATGCTAAACTTAAAGAAGAAGGAATTTTAAACTGTGGTCGAGAATATTTGAGAGCGTTACTGCACAAACTTGGTTTTAAATTTAAAAAATGTCAGTCAAAAAGAAAGCTGCTTGTTGAGCAACTAAATATTATTTCTTGGTGATGGAGATACCTAAACGCGATAAAAAAACATCGACGAGACAAGAGATCTATTGTTTATCTTGATGATACATACGTAAATGCGTCTTTAAATGTTCCATCGTGTTGGCAATCTGCAAAAGAACGTGGAGTGCTGTCACATATTGGCAAAGGGCTGAGATTAATTATTGTACATGCAGGTGGCCAAGCTGGTTTTGTAGAAGGAGCTCTATTAATTTTTAAATCGAAAAGTAAAACCGGAGATTATCATAATGATATGAATTTTGTAAATTTTAATAAATGGACCAAAGAGAAATTATTGCCAAATTTACCTCCAAGATCTGTAATCGTTATGGATAACGCTGCCTATCACTCAGTGCAGGAAGATAAAAAGCCAACGATGACCAACACAAAGGCTAACATGCAGGCCTGGCTGCAAAGACATAATGTCGAATTTGATAATTCCTTAAGAAAATGTGACCTGCTTAAGCTGATTAAGCAGAATGGTTCTGAAAATGTTTATAAGATTGATGAATTGCTCAAAGCTGCGGGTCACGAAGTATTAAGACTTCCCCCCTACCACCCAGACTTAAATCCTATTGAGTTGGTTTGGGGGGATATCAAAGGTCAACTGGCAAGAAACGAACTGGACAGTAATTTAGATAAAAAGAAGATTGCACTAGAGCAATTATTCAACGAA